TGGCATTAACAGAGCCGCTGCCGTAAGCGGAAAAAAAAAAACACAACACGTGGAATTCATCTTGGAGGACCGCAACGGGCAGGATCTACCCCTCCCGGCTGAAGTTACACATTTTTTTCATTCATTGCCAGCAGCGTTAACAGAAATTTCCTGTCCACCCTGCCTCGAGATTCCAGGCTCCGCATCGGCATGGCCCATTGTCTCTCCACCGCTGGATGGAGGCCTCCCCAAAGCTGCCGCCGCCGCTGTGCCTCACTCCCACGCACGCACCCGATCTCATCGCTCCTTCCGCCCTCCTCTTGCGGGTTTTTACGGACACGTCCGTCCCCTAATTGGACGCAATTAGTGCGTTTTACGCGAGTGCACTCGTGTCAACTCTCCCCTGGCGACACGTGTCGCCGAATCTGTAGCCAGAACGGCAATGGCGTGGCTACGTTGGCCACGACTACGCAGACTGAAGAGGTCAACCGGACCCGTGTGTCATCCACGCGAAATCTTTCCCGAGCCTGTGACTATAAGTATTAAAGACACTGAAATATGAATATGAGGTGTGCGGCCCTGCCAATGCTTTTTTAAAAAAGGCCTCTGCTGATGGGGCATTTTGGTCTCACTCCATCACGCTGGTCACACATGTTGAGGAGGTGGAGGCACCCACACTTCACTCAAACGAACGTGACCTGCCAATCACACAACCGCACAAATGTACTGCTGGGAATAAGGCAAAAGCGGGAGGAGAAACTTGCACTCCTGTTTCAACTGCCATGCCAGGAGACTCGAACTGGCAACCACTGGATATTGCAAGTACGGTGCGGTTACCGTTTCGCCACAGGAGCATCCCTGCAAGTGTAAAAGCAACTATGCATTAAAAGATAATTATTAGGTTTTCAAAGGAAGAAAGTAGCGCACCAACCCAGCATGTGTGAAATCATTTACAGATAAATCTTCTCGCCAATTGCCGCTGAGCCCAATGGTATGGGGCAACTTTTATCCTGGTGTTGTGGAAAGCAGCTCTCTCATGTGGCTTCAACACAAATGAGACGTCTGCTTCTTCTGCGGCTCATCATCAAAGCAATCATTGAATGTGCCCGGCTCAAAATATACCCGATTGATAGAATGAGGGCAGACAAAATGGTAATTAAATTCAATTAATCTTGTTCACCACGACAGCTGAGCGTTTCTTCGCGTCGTTCCAGAATCACCAACCGGATTCACGAAACGCATCTTTAATTCACCTTGTTGTGGCCACGTTCTGGCTGCAGGGGTGTGTGCGAGCGTGTGCGCGTGCGCGTGTGTGCACGCGCGGCAATTACTTTGGGGGTGAAAAACGGCGGCGGGCGGCGAAGGAAAAATTATCGCCAAACGCGAGGCTGCGGGCAGCAGCGGCCGCCCAAGTCGTGTCGTCCGTCTGCAACTTACTGCTGTGCCGATGGTGGCAGACATAACAACACAAGGGCTGCCGTCACCCTCCCAGCAATCCCTGCACCCTCCTGCGAGAGCGGATCGTGCGCTCCCAATGATAAACCACACGACGCACATGGTGCATAACACAATTATAATATTTTCTTTTTTTTAATGTGGCTTATACCCCCCCCCCCCCTAGTATTTTTTTTGACTGCCCGATCGGCATCATGTGATCAGACGAAGTATCCAATCTGATCTCTTGCGGAACAGTGCCACCTCTTAACGTTACAGAACGGCCCGCGAAAGCAGCTATGATAAGACTCCCTCCAAGCAACCTTTAAATGACCGCTTTTTAACGCAGCGCAGCACAGCAATTTCCCACCGACAATGCCGCAGAGAGTAATGGTTGTCACATTTAACAAAGTGAGAAATCGAGTAAACCAGAATAGTCACAATTGCAACAGTGACCTGGGTATTTAACGTCTTTCTTTGTGTGTGCAGTCAATGCTATGAGACCTCCTTTAACAGTGGCAAAATATAGTAGTAGGTTTTTGCCCTCTAAACTGGTACAAAACTGACACCTTTATACAAGGCATCATGTTTGCAATAACCACAACACAAGCAGTCAAAATACAAACAAAAAGAAACTCTGATAATGATATGCACTGTCCTTGAAGTTGATTGGTCCACACCCGAGACAGCTTTCCTTAGAGCCTAGTCTCCATTGGTGTTGGACGAGGTGACGCCAAAAGGCGTACAACTCAAAAACAACGCACTATCAGAGTATTGAGAGCTCGGGGTAAGCATTTACACGATGAGACCTCCTTTACCAGTGGCAAAATATAGTAGTAGGTTTTTACCCTCTAAGGAAAGCTGTCTCGGGTGTGGACCAATAAACTTCAAGGAAAGTGCATATCATTATCAGAGTTGTTTCTTTTTGTTTGCATTTTGACTGCTTGTGTTGTGGTTATTGCAAACATGATGCCTTGTATAAAGGTGTCAGTTTTGTACCAGTTTAAAGGGTAAAAACCTACTACTGTGCAGTCAATGTTAAGGAGTCAATGTCATCAAGATGAAGAAACATTTGATAAAGAGTGACTGGAGTCGTTGGTGACTAGGCCGGACAATGCCAACTTATCCTACTTGTAAACCCGGTTTAATCACAGGTGGCTACCCACATTAAATCCTAGCATCTCAGCAGTGCCAACTCGGCTAGAGTTGAGCTCTGTGTCACTGCAGCCACCTCAATTTTACATATTAACACGGCTTCAAATTTTGATTTAAAGCTTTGTGACTGCAGGGATTCATATTCTTGGTTCTTTCGGTAAAGTCACGTTTCGACTCCAACACAAGCAATCATCATCAGTGGATTTCACACCTGATGATGATTGCTGGTGTTGCAGTCGAAACGTCGTGAGAATATTTATTGTTTTATATTTATATTATTTTATTATTTCCCTTCTACGTGATTTTACCGAAAGAACCAAGAATATGGCTTCAAATGTCATGTCACGTGTAATGTTGTTGTAGCACCAGCAGTAACAACTGTGATCAGAAAACATATGGATGTTGAACGTCGTTCCCACTGTACGTAACCAACCGTGCTAAGCGGAGGTGCGGAGGAAGGCCACCAAACGAAAGACTAAAAGCAAGTCTAAAGAAATTATTTTTTCAATCTAGATTTTTAAATGAATAGCTCCAGTGGATTCCTAATATCAGAAGAGCGTTCCAGATGGCCGCAGAAGAGCATCTGAAAGCGCGCGATGCGGGGACCGTCTTTGTTCGATGTCTAGCCAAAAGTCGCCGCCGCTGCTGCAAGAAATGAAGGTAACATTGTCTCCATTGACCCCCAGATTACACCCAGCAAGGAGGGCAGCTCAAATGCGGAGCCACCCCCACGTGGGGTCACCCTCCGCCTGCCTCGCCCGCGAGAGAGAATCAGGAGGCTGTCCCTGGGAGGCTCGCAGCGAGGCCCAGTCGTGCACGGAGCCTCGCGCACACAGTGCCAATTTCGTTCGTGAAACTATTGACGAATTGAAAGTCGTCAACAAGGTGCTTAATTTTTTTTTATTTTACGCCAGTGAACGATGAGTGGAGGGAAATTGTTGAGCATGACGGTGCCTGACTCACCACCGAAGATCAGGGCAGGATCGGGGATGACGAGATGACATTAACTAGAGGAATCTAAACGAAGACGCAGACCAAGATGACTTAATAATGTTACCGAGGCTGCAGCGCACCGAGCAAGTACTTGGCTATGCAGCATACGCGTTAAAAGATTTACCGCGGCCAGCAATTGGGGCAAGATGGAAAAAGCAGGGTGGCTGGTGGGGGTGGGGGGGGGGGGAAAAAAATCACGCGCGAAAACGAGAACAAAATTCCACATCTTGCCGTCAACTGGATGGAGCCACACCTGAGCGAACCGCCGCATGCAACCGAATCGCGAATACGCGTGGGCATGTCTGCAACCGGCCGCGAGCAGTATTTAGTTGCTTACAGCGGAGACAGACTCTGGCGCTCAGAGTATCGGGGAGACCCGCCCGGCCGGCAGTGCGCAGCGGAAACGCTTCTCATCGCGTGCCGTGCATTTCTTTAGTTTTTTTGGTGCGCAACGCCATCGTTGGCCGTTGCGATCCTGAACGACAACGTCGTGTTCGTCTCCTTGTTCCTGCGCCACCATTCGCTCGGACGCGGGGGAAAGCAGCTGCGGAGGTGGGGGGGGGGGGGGTGCGATTTCGGTTGCGCAACCGATGGCTCATCAGGCGTGGACCTCGGCTAAAGGCTACGGTTAAAATAAAAGGCCGACGACCACTACTAAACTAACACCGTCCACACTTTCCACACTTGGCATTTGCCTTCGTGGACCCCCCATCGGCCTCGATGGCGCCCGCAGCACGCGCCGAGAAGCATCGTGCGGCGGTCGTGAATGTGGAACGAAAGGAACGCGTTTGTGACTGCGAGATGATGGGGGGTGGTACGCAGACCCAGCGTAGACCTCCCCACCACCATGCCACCTTCAATGCCTTTTTACAGCCAATTTCAATGTACACACCACCTCTTGCCTGGCAACAGCTTTCACACACTTGCCCATTATTCCCCCTCCCCCCAATCAGGGCCATTCATGCTGCCAATGTCATGCCCGCATGGCATTGGCTAGGGGTTCGGGGGGGGGGGGTGGGATGGGGGGGCGGTGCGGTGCGGTGGTTTAGCAGCATCGCACGACGAGTCCAGCGACCTGCCGGATGAGGGGCCTCCCCCCCACGCCGTGTTGCTCGTTGGTGGGCTTTTCCGACCATACTTCACCACATTGGTCAGCAGTGTGCGGGTTTTTATGAAAGGGGGTGCAAGGGGGTCTAGGAACCGATTCAGATATCGCTCGCCAACTTACGTTAAGCCGTGGCCAGAATTCTAACTCGGTTCACCCGGTTCATAGGTGCTGCCCAGTGAGGTTTGGCGAAGCGAGGGGGAAGAGGGTAGAACTGGTTGTGACATCGCTCGCCACTGATGTGAGCAGTGGCTGGAAATTGAACTCGGTTCGTCGGGGTTCATGTCGCAGTGCGTTAATCATGGTACCACCACACAGGATGATGCTGCATTACCTCATCGGGGGGTTGGGTCGGCTGCTTCTGTTCTCAAACATCTGTGTCCTGGAGGTCACCCTGCAGAGGTCAAACACAGCCATTAGCGGCTTTTAATCCCACGAACAAAATTACGACGCATTTGCATTGCACATCGATATTCATTTCATTTCACGTGCCAAATATATATTTTCGTGCAATTTCACTTAAAATTCTGTGAACAATTTTTCTGATTAGTTTTTTTCGTGTCAGGGTATTTCACTTCAAAGCTGATAATACAGAGAAGGTGGCCTGGTGGCTCAGAGGACAGAGCGACGATGAGCTGGCCAAGCTGAGCTCCTGGGTTCAAATTCGGGCAGCTGCCTTTGAATTGTTGGGTCTCAGTCCAGCACCAAAATACCATAATTCGATTTGGGTCAGCACTTAATTCGGCTTAATCCAGCTCTGATAATTAAAAGTATGCATTTGACTGTCACGCAAATGTGAACATCGCGCTGTGGCAGGTGGGAAAGTGATGCCCCCTATTGTGCATAAGAGGTTACCTGCAGGGACCTCAGAGGTAGATCTGCGATATCCGCATCTGTGGGACATTCTTTAACACAGGGAGGTCGCACTGCTCTGCGCGAGTTGCGAATGGATTGTTCGTGTCATGACGCAACACCGATCGCACAATCGGCATAAAATTGGAGAGAAAAAAACGAAGCATAAAAATGAATCTGACACCCAAAAGCAGATAATTCCCAAATTTGACCGTACGTGTACACAACCGTATCTCAAATTATCACTCGAACAGCGTTCACCAAAACTTTAACTTTGTTGCTTGCTGGAAACAAGCCACTTCTTGGCTGTATTATCAGTTAGGCACCTACAGTTTGAGATATGAAGGGAAGCAATGAAAATATTCGTTATTATATCAGTCCCTCTACCATCCGCGACACACAAGGGGGTGTAAGTGACATGCGGCCAATTTCACAGTAACGGAATTACGGCACGACGCAACAAGCCTGCGAGCCACGACGTTTCACATTAGTAGCGTGGCGCATGTTCTTAGGTTTTTTCGGTAAAGTCACGTAGGTAAATTTTTTTTTTATAAAGTAAAATAAAAAATAATAAAAATAAAAAAATGATGACGTTTCGGAGGCAACACAAGCTTCCGTCTTCAGGTGGAACCGTCACAGCACGATTGCTGTATCAAGTAAACCAGTATATATATACACAAGGTCGGGTCTCTTGGGACTTCTCTTTACTTGATGCAGCAATCGTGCTGTGACGGTTCCACCTGAAGACGGAAGCTTGTGTTGCCTCCGAAACGTCGTGATTTTTATTTTATTTTACTTTTATTAATTTTAATTTTTTACCTACGTGACTTTACCGAAAAAACCTAAGCGTGGCGCATGTTAGAGCTTCCAAGTGTCCTCACATCAGCAAGTCGGTGCAATAGCCACGAAGACACCCAAACCGCACTTCCTTCACCGCCGTGTGCACGATTCGCCCCAGCGCTGGGCTTGTAATTCCGTTATCGCATAATTCGTCTCAAGCCCCTTAAAAGCCACGGATCCCCGACTGTTGTAACAACGTTCAAACGGTTCCGGTCACAGAGTCGACCGGCGGGTACAGAAAGTGTTTGGGGCCATCCGTTTAGTACGCATGGAGGGGGGAGAGGGAGGGGGTTAAGCCTCGACAATAATTTGTCTACATTGGCCTTCAAATGAGTTAGATGGTCCGGTGGTGTGGACTATCTGTTTGCTTAAACACGTTCATACATATATAGATGAATCCTTGATAGTTTCTGCGTGGATTAAATATCGGGCGTTGTATAGGATTCGGGATTGGGGGGGAGGGGTCAAGCATACATACGCAGGTTGGGGAGGGGTGTAAAAAGTACGCGTGCGTACAGCGAGGGGGGGAGGGCTCAAGTTCTGACAGATTTTTGCGTTCCTACTAAACGGATGGCCCCAAACTCCCCGTGGATGGCTGACACGCGCGTTAAGGAGCAGGAGGAGGACACTCGACTTTGGGCTACGAAGGGTTAATAACGGAGCGGGCGTTAGTGGAGGTTAGTCGGCCACGCCGGTCGAGGTTGGCTGGCTGCTTCACAAACTGTTCAACTGTTCCTTGCGGGAGAAAACCCGTGACGCTCACAATCGAGCGACTTTTACCATACAGGACTCCCATCACGTGCGCCGTTTTCTTTTTTTTTTGCATCACACGCGCGGGCACGTGTGGTTTTTTTGTAATGATCCACTCAATTTTACAGGTGGCAATTTTACTCCCACCTCAGCTCATGAAAAGGCAAATAATAAACCGCATTGTCAAAGCAACAGTGGCTCCTTTTAGCCACGTAGTCACGGGATGGACTAAACATGGTCAAGCGGCCCTCCACTGGCCGGGCGAACAAATATCCTTTCTTCGTCAAGTCCTCTCTTAACGCGTTTTGACACTACGACGCGGTTCTTGTACTAGGGAACACTTTGCGCACAACGTGGAACGCGTGCCGTTAAGGTGCAGTTTCTGAGCAATCGACTACGGACTACTTTATTATTGTTCCGTACTGTACGGTACAGTACGTGGAATGATAGGTACAAGGTGGGGGTGCCCCCATTCCAGTCCTTCGTCCAGCCAATGGAATGCCTGCAGGTTGATTTTACAGCGCAAATGCGATTCAATACTGGAAGATGAATTAATTCCTCGCTTGACACGGCACTTTTCAGGAAAGATTCTACGACGGCTGATTAGCACGGTTGGCTACGTACGATGCGAAAAAAGTTCAACATACACATACATACAAGGAATTACTGTATATTCATAGATCTCTATGGAATAAGACTGTTTTAAGTTTGTTGCAAAACTGGCTCAAAAGTGATACCTAAACCTCGCCCACTCCCACCGCCCCCCCACTTCGTTGACACGCACTGACACATCGTGATGAACTTTAGTCGAACAACCCCCCACGACCAACATGGTGTTAGGAAGCCTTCATCCAGCAGTGAATTGACAACCTACTATAAACTAACGACGCTACAAGACACCATCATCGCAAGGCTGAGAGAATGGCGACAGCTTGGGGGAGCATTAATCCAGCAGTGGATTGATCATGTCTTGCTGATGACGATTACCAAAAAAAAAAACCCGTCAAACTCACGGTAGAATATTGTTTCGGTAGTGGCAAGCAAAGTTCAAGCGAGTTCTTGTCTGAAGGGTTTTGTCTTTCGATAACAAAAAAAAAATTCCGCTCAGGTCAAGGTGGGTGGGTGGGCGGGCGGGCGGGCGGGCGGTGGCACCGATCGTGATGAGGCTGGAACGCACGAGAGCACGGCCGCTCAGCGCAGGGCGAAACTGCAGGTGGTGGGATTTTTTGTTTTGTTTGTTATCAGCGGTCAAAACGGAAAGAAAAATAGAGTTTAAAAAAAAATTGTTCAGTGCTGTTTAAAAGTTGGTGAACTGAATCCGGTAGGCGGCGGGGGGGGCAACACCGCTATTTACGGCAAACGAGAGTTGACCTTAAAGAAAGCAAACGCCGGCTCGGCGAACCGTGTGAGCTTCAGGATAAAAGAGCATCGGCTCAAACATTCTGCAGGATTTTCCTTTTCATCCCCATCGATTCCCCTCCCCCGTCCCTGCCCTCCCCCCTCTCCCCCACCACCCGCCGCTAAAAAAGACGCGAAAGAGGATGTGGGTCGCGCGAGCAGACGTAAATATTTACGGTTTTACACTTCAGGTACGCGTTGCTGAGTTTCATCGGACGGCGCAATCTACCCGTGAAAATACTCCGGCACGCGTGGTGGAGGGGCTCCTAAAATACACCCTTCTTCCTCTTCGCAAACAAGAATGCACCGGTCGTGCGACAACTGTCGACGCTTCCCCCATCTCGTATCCCTCAAAACCACAGTTGCATTCCCGCGCGCGAAGTTGAAGCTAGTTCTCGCGGAGGGCTGGCTTGCTTAGGTAATTACACGTGTTGCACGGCGAGTACGACGTCTTCGGCGTGAATTTTGCCCCAGAAAAAGATTCCTCCACCGATGAGAGGCCTTGGTTAGAAAATGTGCCCGCAGAGCTGCCCAGCTTGCAAGACAGACACCATCGTTCAGCGCATTAGCGTACCGCCACAATCGCCGGCTCCAGCGGTATATTCGTCGCAGCGCAGAAGAGTAGGAGAAACATCCTCTAAGAGGGGATGGTACCTCGAGAGCTTCCTCCAGTGGAGGACCATTCCAGCCAGCAGAGGCGTGAGCAAGCAATTGCAGGGATGTGCCTTGACCTGCTATGTATGTATATACAGGAGGTAGTGGGTTCGATCCAGACTCTGACTCCTGTATATTTAGAGTTTGCTTGTCTCTCTCTCTCCCCACGGTCGCGTGGATATTTCTCCGGGTCCTGCAGTTTTTCCCTCCCCATTTATAATCAACATGATGCGTTTGTACTATTTGGCTGCTATAAATTTCCACGCGAAAAGCCACTTCGTTGAGCCATCGTTTGCGGTGGCCAGATCGCTTCTGAAAAAGAGCTCTATAAGCTCAGCGGAGCCTCACCTGGCGAATTTCTTTTTACCAATGTTGAATTTTTTTGCGCACACCCTCCATAGCCAACGGCGGCCAAACGATAGTTTTGTGTGGGCCGCGGGGCGCGCACGATAAACCGGCGCACGACCGCCGATGGTTGAGAGATGAAGCAGCGGTTTCCGGAGCCAAGAACGACGTTTCGCCAGTTGAACAGTTTGTCAGCGCAAGGTCTGCCGGCGTTAGTGTGGGGTTAATTTCAGAGCCACAATCGTCATCATTTTCTTCGCGCGTTTGTGGGAAAACACACATTTTTCACTTTGAGACCGACGGATTTGCATGAACGTTTTGAGTTGGCTGTAATTTTCAAAATGGCAGGCTATGTATGACTAATGAATTTATCTTGGTGAAAAACATAGCATTGCACAAGTCTATGGCGTGTGGGCGCGCGTGCGTCAACAGTCTTCGTGCGCACATACACGCACGCACGCACATTTAGTAATATTTAGCACATTACTACAATCCTGCCATTATAATAAAAAAATGGAAGTTGCAAATGCGGTTTTATTGTACAGCTGAAAATCCAATTAGGTAAATGCGCAATTTGAATTACCTTTTAATCAAGTCATTATGCAAACACGTGACAACCGCAAACACGTGCTGCACAACAGCACGCTCGCGTGTTTCGCGGAATCCACGTGAACACTGCGTAGCGGTCTTGCAAAACGAACGATGGCAACTAGTCGGTTCGAACAATTAGAAATGTTTACATGGTTTGTTTAAACAATTCACCGAAACCAAAGTGTCCTAAATGAAGGATGAGGACTCGCTAAACGAACTGCTGTGCACCACGTAATTTCGCAGTGGCGCTGCTCAGATCTCCGTTTTTTTTTGGCTTGTACCCCTGCGTGTCGTTCGGCACCATAACCGACGTTTCGCTCCACACTAAACGTCGGATGTCATGCCAAGCACCCCCATATTGTAGAAAATATAGCTTTCGTCTTCCCTCTACGCTAGGGGCGCCAGCTTAGCCTAGGCTTGCCGACGGAGCGCCCTCGTCGATTTCGAGCTGAGATAATGATGAGGACTGTGGCTCTCACGGGACAACGATTCATGGGCACGAACACGATCTGGTGCACGTGTTGGCCCAGCGCTCCTTTAGCTCACACACACACACAGCGCCAACTCTTGGCCACGTACCGCACGGGAAGCGGCAACGTACGTGGATCGTGCTGCACAGGAAGAGGCAACGCACGCGGATCGTACTGCACAGGAAGAGGCAACGTACATGGATCGACGGCGGACTGGAGTCCTTCCCTGCCGAGCACAGCAGGGTTCTTCCGCACTACTGCCCTCCGGGAAGCCCGGCTCGCCCGGGTTAGGGGGCAAGAGGCTGGGAAAGGGAAGCGGCAGGCAGCCAGACAAACGGGAGGGAGAGTGGGTGGGTAAGCGGTGGTGGTGGGGGGGGGGGAGGAGGAGTAGGGGGGATGGTGGAAGTGGTGGGTGGGAGGGGGGAGGAAGTGGAGGGGAGTTCCGGCACCAAAATCGAAAACCGAAACACGTTTTGAGGATCAAAAGGAAACAAAACAGATGCGAGATAACAAAGCGGAGAAACAAGAAAGCATGCGGCGAACAAAACAATGCGTGAGCGGGACTGTCGCCGTCAAAATAGCAAACGCACGTCAAGTGCGACGTGACGAAAACTCAAAAGTCAATTGGCAAAGGTGCTTTGTGGAACGGACGATTTAAAAGGAAAAGCTTAAACCACAAATAGCCTTTTTAATGAATTGTTTAGCCAGCACAAGTAAACGCACGAATCGGATTAAACAAAACTAAATAAAGCTTGGGGGGATTAGTAGCAACTGGAAATTGAAAAAAAATTAAGCCAACGACTACTTTGTTTTATTGTTTCTCATTGTGGCCGAGGTCGCTGATCGCAAAGTCGCCCACGACCTCAACGCGGGCGCGAGAATTACGGCGCGCACCGCAGGCGACACGGAGACAGGGGGGGGAGGAGAGCTCACATGGATCGCGGAGTCTATGGGGAGCGTCCTCATCGCCACCGCGTCTTCCCACACGCACAACCGTTTTGGGGAACGGGTATTCAATTTTGGGAGAGTGGTGGCGCAGCGGTTCAGAAAATAAAATAAATATTTATTACTTATTGATTACTGGATGAATCCGATGAGCTATAAAACAACTATTTTTTCCCTACAGATACCCAGCTCGCCGCGCCGTGAACCCAGCGACCCACGTTCGATTGACGGTCGCGACTCATGTCAGCGCCGAGTAATATCCGAGCCGGTCCTGGCCATCTCCTTCACTCACCCGCACTGACCAGCACGGTGATGTATGGCCAAACAGCCCCCCGTGGCTGACGCGGCGTGGGGGGGGAGGACGCCTTTGTCCCAGTGTTGGGTTTGGGATCAATGAGGGGGCTGCAAATCAACCGACGTGGCGTACGACCTCAATGCGCTCATTAAGTTGAACACGTAGCAGGAGGCCTTCGCCACCGATATTATCCATGAAAAAGGTTTTTTAGGGTTGGATCGCTAAACTCGCCACCGACCGATAGCGCCAATTAGTAAGGTGTTATCACGTAAACAGAAAGTGCTAATAAAGTTACTGTTTCAGCAAACCGCTTGAGTACGACGTTTCGCTGGAGATTACATCTTTTAAATGTAGAGAAATACGGAGATTTCAGAATAACCATAATGAGAATGCCATCACAACATCGCATTCGATTGCTCCAGATAACCGATACCAAGGGAGGCACGCAACACTTCACGCATTCCAGGCGTCGCAACACCGTTCAGAATTCTCCTTCTTCTCGGCCCAAAGTCCCATTATCGCACTCGGTCGGCTGCTCAGAAATTCTTCTAATCCGTGCCTCTCTTCTGAATAAAGAAGTCCACTTTGTCCTGTATGTATCATCTCCCCCACCCCCCCCACCTCGACCTCCCTCTCGACTCCATCTTCCCTGCACTGGTGTCATCTCCACAGCTCTTGCCTCTTCTTATTCCATGGCCAAATTGTGCCAGTGTAGCCTCCCTTTACCTACTCCAGAATATTAGCCACCCTGCCACTCCCACCAACCTAGCCCACCATCCCCAACCCGCCACGCAAAAGGCAGAACCAGTATATGTATCCTGGCTCTATCGTCTTCATTACACCCCCCTCTTGTTAATGCTGCCACTTCAAAATGCAAATTAAGTCCCTCCCATTATGCCCAAATCTGGTGATTTGGCAGAAACATTAAAACACGTGGCTTGGATTGGATTTCGAGATGCCCTCACAAAGCATCAAAATTGTACCTTTCCCATGACCGACACCTACACACAAAGATCTAAGATCTATACACACATGAAGATGAACATCCACCCCCCTATAGTCTTTAAAAGTTAGATCAACTCTTGTTAGAGATCACACAGACTCACACAGACCCACAGTCACAAACATACACAACAACATCAGCCACTATTTGCCACTAAGTGAAGGTGACGTCTTCGCTGCACCTGGGCCAGGATAACAACAAACTCGATTATATGCCTACACAATTTGTTTCTGTCATCGGCCTTTTGGCCGTCTAGAACAAAAGTATCCACTAGCATGTAACTCAACAACCGGTGTGTGCCGGTATCGACCTTCTGGGTCTCATCGGCAGTCAGACTTTGTTAAACAATTGATGCTGGGTCTCTAGATGTCACCGGTGAGAGCACCGCATGTAAACAAAGGGGCCATGTCTTCTTGGTTCTTTCGGTAAAGTCACGTAGAAGGGAAGTAATACAATAATAAAAATAAAACATAATAAAATAATTCTCACGACGTTTTGGCCACAACGCAAGCAGCCGTCCTCAGGTGCAAGCAGCCACCCTCAGGTGAAGACAGACCTGGTCTTGCGTTGTGGCCGAAACGTCGTGAGAATTATTTTATCATGTTTTATTTTTATTATTTTATTACTTCCCTTCTACGTGACTTTACCGAAAGAACCAAGAAGATGAATCCCTGCAGTCACGAAAGCTTTAAATAGAAGAGGCCATGCTCAACGCAAACAGGGATATTGTGTGTGGAGACCCACGCGCACGCGCGACACGTACGGGGAGTGGTTGCGCCCGACGCCGTCCTCCGCCGTCTCGGCGTTCCCCAAGGCGACGCGCAGGTTGGAGGAGGGGCCTCCGTGCCGCTTCATCTTGTCCAGCAGGGCCGCGGGGCCCGCGGGCGGCGACGAGGGAATCGCCGCCGCCGCCGCCTGGCCAGGGGCAACGGCGGGCGCCGAGCTCACCGACACCGCGGCCGAAGCACCAGCACCAAAACTGCCGCGGCCGCTCCCGCCGCCGCTGCTGCCTCCGCCGCTGCCACCACTGCCGCCGCTGCCGCCACCTGGCACGGGCGGCGGCGGCTGCGGTGGAATCATGGGTCGCTTAACGCTGCCGTTGCGGCTGCCGGACCTGGCTTCCTCTTGTCGGGGGGAGGGTGGGGGGAGAGACAAGAGAGAGGGCAGAGCGTGTCGGCCGCACGTAGCGTGCTTTTGTTGTTGTTGTTATTTTATTGTACTATTTTATATTTTACCGAGCACAGGCCCAGAAAGAAAAAACACTATCATGGATTTTTTTCGATTTAAAGCTTTCGTGACTGCAGGGATTCATCTTCTTGGTTCTTTCGGTAAAGTCACGTAGAATGGAAATAATAAAATAATTATTCTGTTTTATGTATTTTATTTCCGTAATTATTTTATGATGTTTTATTTTAATTATTTTATTATTTCCATTCTACGTGACTTTACCGAAAGAACCAAGAAGACTATCATGGATGTTCGAGTTCAACTTCGAGGTGGAGTGGTGGTTGGGCAGGGGGTAGTGGGGAAGGGCACTTACTGCTGCTGGAGCGTGCACAGCTCGTGGGGGGGTCTGGAGGGCGGTACGGGGGGGGCTTGCGGATCGACAGCCGATACCGCCTGGCCCGTGCCGAGATGTGCGTCTTGCGGAACTCGCTGTGGTTGCTCGGAACTTTTTGGAAGATCTGCGAGAGCGCAAACAACAGGACATTGCCGCGCCGCGCCTTAGAGGGGGAAGAATAACAACACTACGGGCAGAAAGTGAGTGAGTAATGCCTTTCTAACCGCACGGTGCATTCATTTGTCATCCACACTGGAATTATTTTCTTTACAAAAGTTTGGCAGAAGAAGCACGCTCTTAGCTTAGGAACCACTTGCTCCCGGTAAACGGACAAGGACGAATGTTTTTTGTTTAAAATGTCTGTTTGCTGCGTTAGAGTGTGAATATTTTTTCAAACCTAGAAATATAACAAAGATGTTGAATCGGTTTTTTTTTTCCTTACAAGGAAGCCTCTTTTTTTGTTTGTTCAAAATGAATTCAAAAAAATCTTTGAATCGAAGAACAAATTAAACCCAGAGATTTTCTAAAGGATTGGCTCTTCATAAAAGCACGTCGAATCGCTTCTCGTGAAAGGAGGTACGGCAGCTCCCCGCACATTGGCAAAGGTCTACAACGTTGTCTGTCTCCGTGCAAGAGAGATTTCAACCAAGGCTTCCAACACGAACAGAAAATAATTCTGATCAGCACGTGGGGGGTGTGGGAGCTTTACCTCCTGAACTGAATCTGTCGCTGTTAATTTGTTGCCGTTGCCTGTAATCCGCCAAATCGAAGGGTTAAAATGCCGAGCGATGTAGTAGTCTTCTCCTGGGGCCGTGGGCCTCAGTCCGAGAACTTGGCTAGGCCTCGGCAAGGTAAGGTGAAAGTTAAAAGGTAAAAACAACGAGCCTACCTTTACCCTACCGGGTAATTCTTCTGAGCTACCTTTACCCTACCCTTTACCTTACCCCTTTGGCCTCGGAGGATCCAGCCTTGGCCAGCATCAACCCCCTACATCAGTGTTCTTCATTGCAAGGCCCCCACGGGCTACTGGCGCCCCCCCCCCCCCCCCTTGTGGCCTTCGTGCGCCCCCCTGACGTTCGACCCCCCCCCCCCTGACGATGCACAAATGTGAAAACCCCCCCCCCCCCCCCAATAATACAGGTTTTTTTTTGGGTTAGATCACGTAAATATAAATGTGTCGTTAAACCCGCCACAGCCGACTAGTAAGGGGTTTGTCACGTAAACAGAACGTGCCAATTCGTCACGAGTACAGCGCACCGGTGCGTTGGAGAGCAAAGCCACGACATTTACAATCCGAGTACGACGTTTCGCCAGAAATTACAACTAGCTTCGTCAGGCGGATTTAACGACACATTTATATTTCACGATCTAACCAGGTATGACATTGGTCGCGAAAGCCTAAGTGTTAGATACCCCCCCCCCCCAATCATCATTGTGCTGCCAAAGCCCAATGGTTTCAAATGTGTGCCGCCCCCACCTCCGAAAATGAGTGAAGAACACTGCCGTAGGGGGTCCGGCCTCGACTGGCCTTGACACTGGCCTCCAACCTAAACGACTTTGTCCTCGGCTTGCCCTTGTGGCTCTCACCCGTGACTTCAGCCTTCTCGACGAGCAATATTAACTAATTTAAAGCCCTCCTCCTTCTTCTTCTTTCATATGGCATTGTGAAAAGCAACAGTTTATATGTTTTCTATTTAAAGCCCTTTATCACGGGGAGGTCCAGGACCCGTTGCAGTTGTCACTTTCCACTGATGCTGAACTATGTTTAGGGTAAAACGACGGTTGTGGGGGGGGGGAGCGCACGTGGAACCGCCTGCGCACCTTGTCGTAGTTTTCCACGAGGATCTCGATGACGATGTTCTGGAACTTGATGTCGATGAGGGCGGCCACGGTCTCCACCTCGGGCCTCATCACCGTCGGGCCGAAGCACACAGCCAGGTTGGCCACGGTCATGAGGTTCTCCTTGCTGTGGCTCGCGACGCTGCGCGCGGCGACACGCGGGAGAGATGCGTCACGCGCGACGCCCGGGGCCCAGACAACGCGGTGGGACGATGGCGCACGACCCAGCGCCGGGCGCGATGCCCACCCCGGACCAAGTCTCAAGGTCGCACTCGTCGCCGCCTTACAAAGATCCCCCGCGGAGGCATTCGTTCGCTCGCCTCCGCGTCCACTCGATTCGCCCACTCTCAACAATAACGGCGCTCCTCTGGACAATGGGCTTGTTGTGGGTCATCAGGATTTTCTTTCTTCCAGAACACCCCTCAATTCATTCTACTCCAATCTGATCGCAAAATGCTGGAAACACAAAATCCTTCACCCCTGGCGATGAACTCGCTGTTCCAGCATCCAAGGCTCTCTGTGGAGGCCCCCCTGTCAAACCTACGCTGAGTGGGAGGTCGCTCACTCTCTTCTGCTGCCCCCACAGTCTGCAACTCCCTTAACCCTTTCGAATTCCGATGACGTACGTCATCAGTTTTTCTTCTGATTCCACCTCCCTGTATAAAATAACGTCATCAGTACCGAGCCTCCCACAAGGCCATGCGTGAAGGCGTGTGGCAAAGTTTGACACCGGCTATCTTAGAGTGTGGTCGTGTCACTACAGTTCTTTGCGGCGAGTAAAAGGTCTTTAAAAACAGCGGCGCTATGCCTCTAAATAAAATTTACGCTAACCGCTTGCGTGTTCCGAGATTCGACGTCTGCAACTTGCAGACGTCTCGAAATAGCAAAGGGTTAAATAAAAATGTTTACGAATTGGCAAGATGATTCGGGCAGTGGCCCTTCTCCATAGCACACAGAGAAGCCACAGAGATCGAGTGGATAATACTAATTATAACAAGGGCTGGAGACTGAACCTAACACCATCAACGAATAGTTTGCATCAACAACGACCGGTCGGTCGATTGGTTCTCACGACCCAGGCCCCAGGAGCGCGTGACGCTTTGTGCGTACCGATCGGCAAGCGAGCGAGAGAGCAAACCCTTCCCCGATACTCCGCAGCAGCTCACGTGCACGCGGTGGCTGGGGAGGCGTTATGGACGTTTTTATAATTTTATTTTTAACACAAAATTGTTCCTTTTATAACAAGTCGCCCGCTGTGAAATATTTGCGGCATGGTAACTTTTATTGGTTTAATAAAGGAATGCTCGCGTGACTAACATCCGCTTTGCCAAAGCCACGCACGCCAGCGTGGTGAAGTATGGTCAATAAACCACCATGACCCACACAGTGTGGCAAAGGTCTGTACATAATAAACTAATAATACTTTTTTATAATAAGGGATAATTGCGTGCCAGGGGCGATGTGCGTTCGCAAGGCATTTCACAGCGGCATCCCGAGGGAAAAACCTGCACACAGAGGGAATGTTTTCAAATGTTATCACTGTTGCACTGGTGGTGTAGCAATGGCACAGCAGCTACGAACCCAGTGACCCGAGTTCGATCTCCAGCAATGGGCAACACCATTGACGAGATACCTCAATGGTAACGAGCCTCTCCTCAATTGAGCCAGCAGACAATTTATCTTTTACTCGACTACGAGCCACCGGTCCCCTCCACACTGTACGTATGTGTGTACGTTGAACTGCTCCCGCGCCGTACGTAGCCAACCGTGCTAATGAAACGCGCCGCGTCGCCAAGCCAAATGGCGGCAAGCACCGGCCTGCATCGACCAGCGGCCGAGGGCGGCGCGAGTCGGCGAGGAGCGTGGGGAGAGCGCGGGGAGAGCGCGGGGAGAGTTACTTGGAGATGTGGGCGATGATGATGTTGAGCATTTGGCGGTGCGACTCTGGGAGGTCGTACACAAGGCCATGCACGCACTCGATGCGGTCCTCCTCGTTGTCCATTTCTGCGCGCGCGGTCGGACACGGTCGTGGCAAGTTAGCAAAGTCGTCTTTTTTTATTGTTGTTGAAATTATGTGTTTTTTTTTTGTCCCCCAGTTTCATCCCGGTTGTGCAATCGGGGTCACGTCGCGAAATGGAGACTCCAATTCAGATCACGAGCAGAGCAAATGCAACCCTTTCGTAGAAGAAAAATGGCCCACGGAAGCGGATATCACAGAACTACCTTTCAGATCCCTTCAAAGTGACTGCTGGTCCACGCGGTAGAGGGCAGCACTCTCCCCCACCCACCCTGTTACAGAGAGTCATGTCCATCACGTGACAGCCAAACCGAATATGTTTTTTATCCTCGAAGCTGGAATATAGGCAAATTAAGTCCGAACCCATAGTTAATGTAATGGCATTGTATTGTGCAGCCATCAGCAAATGGGTTGAGAATCAACTCAATGCAACTTGAGAACCCGGTTTTATCAGAGGCGGCTGAAACCTGAAATCAAACGGAGGATCTCAACGGCGGCAGCTCAGCTCTGAGCCATCCGGCGACCACCCCCTTGCAATGATGCACACACCATTTTTTTTGCAATACAAAGCGTCGCGCGGAAGCCATTGTCGGTGACGATTGTTAGCGGCGATTGCCTTGAAATTGCCCTATTGTGTGACGCAGGCACGGCGGAGTGAAGAGTCAGCAATGCCGCTCGGACTCGGACGACACAATATAGGGCACTCCGCCGCCAATGCCATCTGTTCCTGTCGTCCGCGAAGGAGACTCAACGCTCGCAGGCCCGAGGGAACTGGCAGTTCAAATAAACAAATAAATAAATATTGACTGGGCAAAGGTGCAGGCCTGAAAATGCTTCCTCACGAAACTGCTGGTGGAAGGGCCTCAACTCGAGGAGGCTCAAGAACGCCCCTTTGCAGTTTTTTGGGGCTCAATCTTCCACGCCTGCCAAACGGCGGCTCGGTCGAGGAGGGAGCACCCACACTTTACTCCACCGCACGCGACCTGCCCATCGACAAACTGCCCTGGAAGCCATTTGGTGCTGCGGCTGGGCTGACACGAGGTGAGGTTTCAGAAACCCTGCGCCACCGTTTCAATCGCCACAGCGGGAGATCAAATTGAAACCTGTGACCTCTGGATCGCAAGTCCAGCTCGCCGGCCGTTAACACCGCGGCAGCGTCGCCTGCGCTTAAAATCGCCACCGTAAATGAGCTTGTGTTTTTTTTTCCTTTCATCATAGTAACCGGTTGGGATTTTTTTTCCTTAAAGCTGTAATCCTAACGTGATCGATATCGAGAGATGGGCACGGATAATGGCATCGATTGTACAATTACGCAGCAGCTACATTGAGCAGGACAGAGAATCAATTAAAAAGCAGGTTTTTTGTTTTTACTCACTCGGAAAAGCTTCGATGGAAACTAGAATATCTCCACTCGTGGCCATTGAGCAACTCTCCCAAAGATGCCTTCTCAGTACCACACAGGGTGAAGGAGGAATGGTGCTCTCAAGTCCGTACGCAGTGGCGAGATGTTAACTACCTCGCCTGGTACACAGGAGGTCATGGGTTAGATCCTGATCCTGATGCCTGCTTTGTATTTGGGGTTTGCACGTTCTCTCCGTGCGTATTTGGCTGCTATAAATTCCCACATGGTGATAAGCCACACTTCGTTGGGCTATCATTCGTAATAGCCAGGTCGCTTCTGAAAAATAACTATATAGCTCAGTGGGCCTTACCTGGTAAAATATTTTAGTTTAGTACAGATCGGTCAGCAATTTACTTGCTGCACTGCCTCTTCTAAATCACCTTGTACTTTCCCGATCATGTGAGCTTTACGGAAGCTACGCGAGGTTGAGCTCGGCTAGGATCTTGGATGGGCGAATGCCTGGGATTGCCACGTGCTGTCGGCTGGCTGATGGCAGGTGCAGCAGTTGTTTACTTGAATCCATCTGTGTCGAGATATTTAAATGCCACCCCCTCCCCGAGAACCCCTAACCCAAACGGTGGCACTGGCCAAACCTTCGCAATGCACGAGCTTCCTGACAACGAGTCATGAGACTCCACGAGACTTTCCTGCGTAAATAAAGAGTAATTGTTGCTGCTGTTGCAGGCACGTGTCAGGGTCGTGATTGGACATTGCCTTTGTCATTTCAAACCGCTAATTCAAGAATCAACTTCCTCTTTCTATCCTTGAGCCAATATAAGAGTAGCACCTCCAATGGCTGCAGGGGTAAAATAAGATACCATCTTGTGGGAAGGTCAAGGGTGGTTGTCCTATGGATGGACTTGCCCCAGCCATAGGAATGATGAATTCCACCAGTGGCTCAGGACTGTAGACGGGAGATGCGCACCAAAGCCTCAATAGTCATTTGAGCAGGAAACCACTCTGACTTTGTTTAAATTGCTTCCACACGTATGTGAATCAATGCATCGTATCACGGCATTCGTGCTCATTGCGAGATCAAAGGCACGAGTGTGAGAACACCTGGCGTACAAATTTAGGATTCCTACGGAATGTTTATCATCGCACCGTCGCATAACTCTGCGACTCTAATTATGTTCTCATGAGCCAAGAGAGGAGTCTGCGATTTCATTTTTTGCGGCAGTGTCCGAGGCACGCAGCCGATGCACACAGGGCCGGGGGGGGGCAGAGAGGAATAAAACAGCGGTGTAAAAACAAGAATTTGCCATTACCTTGGGTCTAACTCGGATAATTGCAGCGATTAGCTTGCGCTGCCAGAGAGCGTGCCCGCATTTGGGGGGGGGGGGGAGGCGGGCGTTGCAAGCAGTCTATTTGGCACACAAGGCCCAGCGCTAGACAGGATTTGGCACAAGCGGTGATCCGGCACGAGATAGCATCGTCTTAATAACAGAACGGTGCCCCCGTTTCAACCGGTGCCTTGCAGGTGACGACCACACTTAAGAGATGGGTTAAAGGGTGGGTTTTATCTCCAATGGCAGCCCGGCGCCAATGGTGGAAATTCCACGTTCCCAAGGCAGGGCCAGGATATGCTTAGGGGCACTGCTGACATCCAACTAAAGTTGGTGCTTGATTTATTGACCCAGGCGAGATGATGGATTTGAATTTGCATTCTACCAATCGTGCCGAACGCTCATTCAAGTGTGACAACCAGCTCTACCCGTCTGGAATCTCCAGACAAACGACAACAACCACCCGCGACTCTGTTGCGAGATGTAGCGTGTTGTTAAGAGTGTCATCGTCATGTTTTAATCCCAATTAACATCGCTTCTCTAGCTCCGTTTTTCCATTAGAGGCCAATCACGAGCGCCGGCACAAACGCAGTGAAACATCGGGGCGACAATTCTATGCGATGTTAAAAAAGTTCGGCGACGGTGCGAGGTTGCAGCAAGTGAAGTTGTGGGCAACACGAGGCAACAAACTCCTTTTTAAATCCTTTATATTAAGTTCACTTGCTTGCTTGCTTAGGACCGTGCAAATCTTTCGGTCGTTTTTTAACCCACTTCCCGTGATCCAATCGAGCTGACATTTTCCACACAGACTCGTTGTGCGTGACAATTAATTTTCGTGAAAATTTGTTTCCAAAATTTTACACTTTTTAGGACAAAAATATTATATTTAATTACCAATTGCTTAATGCTGCCATGCAATCATCTGACCCATAGGTGGCAGCCATCTCAAGCCAGAGGACGAGAGGGCTCTAGCCGCCACGCATATAAAGGATTTATAGTGAAAAACTTTGTTTTTACGGGTTAATTTTTCATCGTGTCACTGCAATTTCCCCCCCCCCCCGACTTTAATCATTAAGCAAGCGCTTAGGCATTTCTAATTTTAAGAGATAACGCAGATGTTTCCATCAACGTTTCTTTTTTTGGTACCTTACTCTCTTAAATGTTTTCTCTTCTACTTTCAAAAACATCTGATAAAAATCCATTTCTCGTGACTCACTGGCAGCCGTGATGAAACGCTGATGCAGCCTGAAGGTCATGAGTGGTTCGGGGAGATTCCTGCGGCAGAAAAGGTGAAATACGGACAATGAGTTTTTAAGATCGAGGCATCGAACGGGCTCGGCGAACAACAAGGGAAGTGGGGGGGGAGATGTAGGAAAGAGGGGGGGGGGACGTGGGGAGGGGGGCTTGGGGGATGGTGCAGTACAAAATAAAATGGGAAAATATTTTCAGAAACCTGAGAAAGGCCTTCACAGTGCCACTCAATATCTTCACATCCCAGAGGTCATCGTTCTCCAGGTCAAGGTCATCCAGCGAGTGGCACTCTAACGGTGGGGGAGGAGGTGGGGAAGGAACAGCAACACAATGAAACCATCAATTACCTGCCACAAATCGGGCGACAGTCTGTCAAGATACCACATCTCCCATCTCCTGCTGCAAAAGGAAACCTGGATAACCGCGCACGGCTTATTTGTCATCATTGTTTCATAATTTATCTGCCTTGTTTTTTACTTTCTATTCGGATCAGGTCAAAAGGTACGCCCGGTTGGATAGGCGGCACACGCTCGTTTTCACGCGTTGCACAAAAAACCTGGAAAGCCGAATTTCATTCCCGGCCACGGCTATAACATCGGTGGCGCGTGATATGCAATCTGGTTCTGGACCACCCCAACTGTCCGACCAGCATGGTAAAGTAGGTAAATCATGGGCCCACAACGCCCATGACCAACACAGAATGTGAGGGGGGGGAAATGCCTTCATCCAGCAGCGGACAAAGGGCAGCCACACACCGTCCTTGCCACCAGGTTAAACGTTAAAACGAGGATTTGGACAACAACAACAAGGCACATTGGAAATTTTTATTATAATTTTTCTCTCTCTCCAGCTTTCAGAAAGCTCGCTCACGATGGAGAGGCCGAGGAATGAGAGCCAAGTTGCGGGGGGATGCCTCTCCTCCCGCTGCCAACAGACATTTCGCAGCCCCCCCCCCCTTCACGTGCACCCGTAATTTGGAATAAAACAATAACTTTAATAAAGTACAATAATAAAAAAAGGTTTTTTTACACTATGAGACCTCCTTTACCAGTGGCAAAATATGCAGGACAGTGAATATTATTATCATTATCAGAGTTGTTTCTTTTTGTTTGCATTTTGACTGCTTGTGTTGTGGTTATTGCAAACATGATGCCTTGTATAAAGGTGTCAGTTTTGCCCCAGGTAAAAGGGTAAAAACCTACTACTACAACAAAAAAAGTCTCGCCGTGTCGTGCGTTTCGACGTCGTTTACAAGTTATCCCAGCATACCCGCTGTATACGTGATCGTCCTAATGGCTTTGCTGTAAATTACGTGGTGGGCCTCCCACCACCCCCCCCCTGGACCCCCCCCCCCCCCTGGGCCCACCACCTTGTGATGAATGGCAGCTGTTGCTGTACAGTGTTCCCTCGTTATTCGTGAGGGATACGTTCCAGAGATGCTCGCGAATAGCAAATTTCACGTATAATGATATTGGCCGATGAAAACCTTCTTTAATGATTTCATCTCATCACTTCATCTCTCATCACTTTCCTTCTCTCCCTCCCCCTCTGTGGGTCGTGCAGAGTTGCAGATGCGATTCGCGGGTAGCCCAAATCGCGCATGGTCAGAAATCGGTGACTCGCGCGACGGGGGCAACGCCGTTACCGTTGAGCAGGCTTAGCAGCTTCTGAACCCTCGTGGTGGGCGCGACGATGCGGTAGAGGCCCTGCTCCTCAAGCCCTGCGCACCACACGCACGCACGGTCAGCGCCACCACCGATTACGACGCGCGACAACAGCTGCAACGGTCGCTCGTAACGGTCTCTTCAACCCAGTGCAAAGGTCGCAAACGGGTTTTGATTCCTTACCCGTACCCGGCCGCACCAGGGTCGCAAACGGGTACCCGTACCCGGCCGGGTACGGGTAGCCGGGTATCGGGTAGGGTACGGGTATCGGGTACCCGGTTGCGACCTCTGACCCAGTGGCGGAACTATATTAGTAAAAGGTTTTGCTTGCTGGCCGGATGGTGGAATGGGAGCACCGGATGGACGATCACATCCAAAGTATGTGCGGGCCGTCAGTGAACAAAGGAAATAAAAATGGTCTTCTTCTTCTTTCTTTCGTACGGCTGATGTAAATGCAGAGAAACAACTACTACAATTTCACATTCAGGTGGTCAAGCTCAGATAACCGTGTCAGGAGCCAGTGCCGGATTAAGCGAGTGCAGGGCCTGTAGCATATGTTACCAAGGGGCCCTAAATAAAATAAAAAAACACGTAAATATTAAAACACTAAATGTTTAATTGCATAGTAAAGTCATTGTGTTTTAGCATTTGCTACACAGCCAGATAATACGACAAATCGATAACCTGAGACACCCAGTCGTTCATAAAGTTGAAGGCAGTATAGTACTATAGTAATAGAGCAAGTGCAGAATCACTGAACCGGAATTGATAGCCTGAAAGTGCAGGGCCCGTAGCTACATATGTAGCTACTACATACGTAGCTAGGTGTGTGAAAGTTCGGGGCGCGTAGCTACGTATGTAGCTACTACACACGTAGCTACTTGTGTGAAAGTGCGGGGCCCGTAGCTACATGTGTAGCTACTACACACGTAGCTACTTGTGTGAAAGTGTGGAGCGCGTAGCTACTTATGTAGCTACTACACACGTAGCTACTTGTGTGAAAGTGCGTGGCCTGTAGCTACGTGTGTAGCTACTACACACGTAGCTACTTGTGTGAAAGTGCGGAGCGCGTAGCTACATATGTAGCTACTACACACGTAGCTACTTGTGTGAAAGTGCGGGGCCCGTAGCTACATGTGTAGCTACTACACACGTAGCTACTTGTGTGAAAGTGCGGGGCCCGTAGCTACATGTGTAGCTACTACACACGTAGCTACTTGTGTGAAAGTGTGGAGCGCGTAGCTACTTATGTAGCTACTACACACGTAGCTACTTGTGTGAAAGTGCGTGGCCTGTAGCTACGTGTGTAGCTACTAGACACGTAGCTACTTTTGTGAAAGTGCGGGGCGCGTAGCTACATGTGTAGCTACTACATACGTAGCTACTTGTGTGAAAGTGCGTGGCCTGTAGCTACATGTGTAGCTACTACACACGTAGCTACTTGTGTGAAAGTGCGGAGCGCGTAGCTACATATGTAGCTACTACATACGTAGCTACATGTGTAGCTACTTTGGCTCCAAGGATAATCCGGCACTGTCAGGAGCAGCGGGCCCAAGTACCAGGATGACATTGGGAAGAAAACACAAAACATGTTCCATCCGCTGAGCCCTCAACAGAAAGTAATGCATTTCATGAAAAATCCCACGCAGACACTTCCCAATAATTGCCCTTGCGCAGTATATTTGTGTGTGTGTGCGGGTGGTGCGACTTCAAGTCGCTGGGGGTGTGTGTTCTTTTTAAATCCTTTATATTAAGTTCGCTTGCTTGCTTACGACCGTGCAAATCTTTCGGTCGTTTTTTAACCCACTTCCCGTGATCCAATCGAGCTGACATTTTCCACACAGACTCGTTGTGCATGGCAATTAATGTTCGTGAAAATTTTTTTCCAAAATTTTACTACTTTTTAGGACAAAAATATTATATTTAATTACCAATTGCTTAATGGTGCAATGCAATCATCTGACCCATAGGTGGCAGCCATCTCAAGCCAGAGGAAGAGAGGACTCTAGCCGCCATGCATATAAAGGATTTATAGTGAAAACTTAGTTTTTACGGGTTAATTTTTTTCATCCTCGGCGTCAATTCTCACGTTCGTGCGATTCGTTATCTATTTGTCCGCTCGGCAGACATTTTCAGCAGCACAAAAGAGAACGTTAATAAAAAAAAACCTGCGCCAGGGTTCAGCTGAACAGAAGATGAAGAAAAAATTAAAACTTTTGACTTCCTCCAACAAGGGAAAAATACAAAAGGAGTTATACATTTTCGCTTGAAAAGAAACACAAAACCTTTTCAACCTTTTTCGACCTTGGCCAAAAGCTCACTCCTATCCACGCACTACCACCACCACTGCCACCGCTAACGTCGACCTACAGACGCTCTTGCCTCCCGTATCTTCGCTAACTCATGGCAGAGGTCGCAACCGGGTACCCGATACCCGTACCCTACCCGATACCCGTACCCTACCCGATACCCGGCTACTCGGGTAGGGTACGGGTACGGAACGGGTACCCGTACCCGGCCGGGTACGGGTAGGATACGGGTACGGCCGGGTACGGGTACCCGTTTGCGACCCTGGTGCGGCCGGGTACGGGTACGGGTAAGGAATCAAAACCCGTTTGCGACCTCTGACTCATGGCCAAATCGAAAGAATCAGGACGGACAGATGGAGAGGTACTCGGCCGCCACCTGCTCGACATGGATTAGCCTCCACCCTCTACACACGTGGGGGGAGGGGGGGGCAAGCAGATAAAGGAATGCAGCAACTGTGACTCGGGGCATTGAGTTGTTATACAGGAGAGTGGCCCAGAAGTCAGGACACATAGGGTTATAATTATAGATTTGAAGCTTTCGTGACTGCAAGGATTCATATTCTTAGGTTTTTTCGGTAAAGTCACGTAGGTAAAAAAATAAATAAAAGTAAAATAAAAATCACGACGTTTCGGAAGCTTGTGTTGCCTCCGAAACGTCGTGATTTTTATTTAATTTTATTTATTTATTTATTTTTACCTACGTGACTTTACCGAAAAAACCTAAGAATAGGGTTATAATTATTTGAACAAATCGCATCGGGTTTATTTAGTTTATTTTAACATACGTTCAAACTTACCTCCTTTAACATTAACGCACGATGCATGCATTTTCTTTTAGAGTTAATTTAGGACTATTTTTGTCATGTAATCTCTGAACATTCATCAATGATGTTTTGTTGTCTCCATTCATTCACAGGGTTCTTGGTCGAGTTTTGTAAATGACGCATTTCAGGTGACTCTAACAGGAAGAAGAAGAAACGTAGATATTAATAGCTCAAATGGTCACGATTTTTTTTTAAAGCCAGTGTAAAAATGTATTGAATAAACCCTGTGTCCTAGCTTACCGAGTGTCCCATGGTCTGTTCTCGGTGATGATGCAGCATGAACTTAATTTAGTGCCATGAAGGTTTGGTTGGCTACGTACGGTGCGAAAGAAGTTCAACAAACATACAAGCATTGTTGGCTCATACAGAGATTGGAATCTGTTACGGATAAGTTTGGGAAACAATTTTTTTTGGGGGGGCGGAGATTTTGGATTCTCAAGGATAATTTTTGATGATTTATGTCACGTCTTCGTGCTGACAAAAGTCAAGTCTAGCGGTGCCTCGTGACGATGTTTGGCGGAAACAGCATGGACATTATGCGATACAAGTAACGTTACTTGATGTCATGCTTTTGGATATCAAAAACAAACAAAACTAATCTGGGAAAGAAAATATCTGGATCATCAAAAAAATCATATCTAGTCAAGTAAATTTTATTTTTGCTTAAAACAAGTGACGCCTTTCTGTGACAAATCTGCCACTCAAAGCGCCATCACATTAATGCTCATAAACATCGATTTTTTTCCTTTCAGATTTTAATTCCTGAAACTATCCGAGCCGTGTGTGCGGGATGGAAGCCACCGCGCCGCGGAGGGATCTCTGCGTCACACACGCACTCACCGTCGGCCTCGATGAGCTGAATGCACTTGCGTATGAACTGGAAGCCCATGTCGTTGAGGGTGGCTAAACACCAACACAGACGACACCAAACAAAATGAGGAAAAACCTTGAAAACCGTGCCACCGACAAAACCACACGGGCAGGGCCGCCACCAAATTACTGGGGGGGGGGGGGGGACATTTTTCCTGTGAGAGACCGACTGTCATGCCATCTCTTAAAGAACAAAAACTTACATTAGTCAGAAGCACCGCCTTAGAATGCAAAGTGTACAACAGGAGATGAAGAGATGGCAGCAGACACTCTCATTATATGTAATTTTTGCAAGTTTCATTTGAGCTTTTTCACCGATACAAGGTTACTGAAGTGGATGCATTTACGTGAATATTTGTTTCCCCAAATTGTGGTCTCAATTGTGCTCTCGACGTCACGTCGCGAGGCGAAGCCTCCTCTCGGATCTCTCCGCACCGCAATTGAACCATTCGCGGCACAAAACGGCCCACGGAACCGGATATAGCAGAGCTTCCTCTGAAATCCCTTCCAGTGGCCCGTGACCCACACACAGTGGGGTGGGGTTCTTCCCACTCGCTCTGTGTGAGAGTGACAGTCGTATCATTAGCACGGTTGGCTACGTACGGTGCGAAGCAAGTTCAACGTACATACATTCCGGTTAATCCAATACTTGTAATTCTAAAGAGCTGGAATTTAGCCAAAATTAAGTGCAGGACAATAATTGAATGTGACAGAGTTTTTCTTTGCAGCCATCGGTGACTGTGTTGATCTTCGTCAACTCGCTACACTTGAGGACCCCGTTTAACGACAGGCAGCTGGCACCTCGTCGATGCCAGCGCAGCGCTCCGATCTCTAAACCACAGGGGCCACCTCGTAAATGGATGCTTTATATCGAATGTGCGGTCTTTGGTCGAAATATACTGGGACACAAAATTGTAAGGTTCAACAATAGTGGACGGTGGCTTTAAGAGGGCCCCATACAGAATTCTGCCCGAGGCCTCCAGAACACCCACCAACGTTGGCCCTGCACGCAGTGTGCGGTACATAATCCAAGTTCTAGGAATCAAATCACCATCATTTTGTTCAGTTGTACTTCAAAAGGGGCTGTGTGTACCTGTGGCTTTTTTTTATATATAATTTTTTTTAAAGCCCATCAAAAGCGGCGAATTTGTGAATAGGGATTGTTCAGTGAAAAACCCTCAGTAATGATTCCCATCAGCTGCGCTGTGCGCCATTCACTCCTGCCACAGTTATTTTCATCCGAGTATACTTTTAGAGAGTATTATTATCTTTTTCACCATCTTGCGCTGCTCCAAGCAAATAAATACGTACGTTAATTTATCCAATTGGCTTGGGCCAAGCAATGCGAAATAATTTGCAGGCTGCCAAATAATCGTTTAGCATCATTTGCGGAGAATGTTATAAAAAAAATGTTTAAAACACATTCCTCCCACGTAGAAAAGTGATACTTGACGTAAACATCAGGCAGTTCCCCAGCATTGGATAAAGCGAATCTGTTGATGAGACGCTGAATCTCGAAGGCGGCCCAGCATTTAATTGCTTGTATTGAATCGGCACAGGCTGATAAGATGCACTTGCAGGAAGGTGTCGTGGTCGATAGGTTGAGTAACTAGTTTTTGTTATCTAAGCGGAAACACAAATGAATGTGGTAGGTAAGGAGGCATTGCTAATTTTATCAACATGCAATACTCGGATGAGCGAACTGATCGTTGCGATCAACAGATGTGCGGTTTGCATGGAGGGCGACTTACTCTCTTCGGGAATGTTGTGTGTGGCCCGTTCGTAAATCTGAAAGACAATGCCCAACTCCGGTCAACACCGGCAATGCCACGCAGAGGGCACCAGATGCACCGGCACACACTTCAGCCAACAGTCAGGAACTCGGCAAACACTCGCACAATGGGACGCACAAAGAAACGCCGGCACAACGCCAACGCGATGCGACTGGGGTGGTGGTGGGCGGGTGGCCAGAGCCGCGTTGTGCCCCGCTGCCTTTGTCTTCCCGCTGCTGACGTCGATCGCACCACCGCGTCGTTCTGGCGGGGTTGGGTTGACCCAGTGGAGGGTCCAAGCCGGTTAAAGGTGCAGCCCTGCAATGCCTCCCTCGTGCCACTGCTGGTGGAAGGGCCTCCACTAGAAGGAAAATCTGGAGAGTCTGGAGAGCACCCCCCCCCCCCCCCGATAGTAGGATATATTTTGGCCTACTACTGCTGCTGGGTCGACAAAGGCGGGGAGGTGGATTTAATAGACTGGACCATTTTCATGGGACCTCCTTTGCCAGTACCAAAATATACTAATAGGGTTTTTCCCCTTTTTCTGGCAACAAGATGTAGCTGCTCACCCCGAGCTCTCATTACTCTGATAGTGCGTTGTCTTTGAACTGTGCACCTTTTGGCGTCATCTGATCGAACACCATATGAGACTAGGCTCTAAAGAAAGCCGTCTCTGGTGTGGACCAATCAGTTTCAAGGACAATGCATAAATTATCAGAGTATTGTTTTTTGTTTGCATTTGACTGCAAGTATTGTGGTCAATGTAAGCATGATTCCTTGCAAAAGGTGTCAGTTTCGTTGCCAGAAAAAAGGGGAAAAACCCTATTAGTAAACTGGACCATTATATCCCCTGCCACGCCGGGAGATCGAATCAAACCAGCGATCCCTCTGCCAACCATTGCGCGCACACACACAGACTCACGCACGCACACGCACGCACACGTGGGCGTGGCATTCGTACATCGCACCCGGCCGGGAGTTGGTATGAATTGCAAGCGGTGCTACGCACCGTGGCGGGGAAGGGGGAACCGCAGGCGGGCCCGGGACCGCCGCACGGCGTGAGAACCCACGGCGGGGCAACTTGCTCAAATTCACGCCCCAGGGCACACCAATCGCGGCACGCAGGGGGACCGTGTTGGTTGTAAAGAATAGGAATTACGTTTCTTGAGCGCTCACCGTGGGTGAGAGCGACGACTGAACCCAACAAAAAAACCATAGCGACTATCGAACAATGACGAAGATCCCACGTGGAGCTTAAATAGGCTGTCAAACGAGCAGCACCTGTGAAGGCCAGCAAGGCACACGGCTGGGGTGCGTGGCCAGAACCACATCCTTTGTCCCCCTCCAGCGCTGATGTCAACATACCGCCGCACCAGGTACTCGTTTTTAAGGCTAAGCCGACCTAAGGGAGTCCCAGTAAGAGTTCAGATATTCGTCACCGACGTTGGCTGTGACGCGGGACTCAAACTTGGTTCGACGGGTTCATCGCGCGGTGTGCTCATCGCGACGACGTCACAGCGACGCCCCCTATCACACACGCACGCGCACGCACCCGGGTTCATATGCGCCCTCGATTTTTCAATGACTCTGCTGTCACCACAGTCTGTCTGGAGAGCTCTCTGCAGTGGAGGCCCTTGCACCAGCAGTGGCCTGAGAAAGGAATTGCAGGGCTGCGCCTTTACCTTTCTCAATCATACCCCGATGGATTATCACACTTGCAGATCAGCGACGGCTTTGAGGAGGCTTTCATCCAGCAGTGGACTGATCATGGCTAACGACGACGGCGATGTCGCACGGAGTTCAGATTTACGAGCACCCATCAGCTGTTCATTGACTCCGCCTCCACGGCTGTCTTGTTTTTCATCATCCCCTCCCCCCAACGCGCACACACACACACAACGCGCGCACACACACACAACACGGACACACACACACAACACGGACACACACACACACGGACACACAGAACATGCACGCGCACACAACATGCACGCGCGCACGGTGACACGGCCGCAGAGAGAGAGAGAGGAGACAGCGCTTTGCTCTTTGAGCCTCACGGCACGGAGCTCACAGCTGGGGACTTAAGATCCACAAGAGCGGAGGAGGTCACTCGCTTGGGAGGTCAAACCGGGCAACGGGGCAAGGGCGGCACCCCGGGGGATGCCACTGGCAACGTCGCAGGAAGTTACCCGGCTGGGGCGTCATGGCACTGCCCCCTGGGTGAACCGCACTCGCCGCTGTCCGAGGAGGTCGGCCTTCGTAAGATCTCTCCCCCCCATCGTAAGTTGACCCGCGCTGTAGGCAGAGATCGATTTGCCCATCGGCTCGCGCGCAGTGCGGCGGACCCAGGCCCACCTGCGGTTCCCTTCCCGGCCACGGTGCGTAACACCGATTGTAATTAATTACCAGCTCCTGGCCGGGTGCGATGTATTAATGCCGCGCGCGTGCGTGCGCGTGCGTGTGTGTGCGTACGTGTGTGCGTACGTGTGTGCGCGTGCGTGCGCGGGCAATGATCAGCAACGCTAAACATGAGATCCAGAGGGATCGCCGTTTCGATACAATCTCCCAGCGCGGGAGTAGCAACAATGGACGAGTTTGTTGAATCCACCTCCCCGCCTTTGTCCACCCAGCAGGGTCAGGGTAGTGTGGCGATCGCGTGGACACTCACTTAGCGATCTACCCAACTCGGCACACCTAAGGGCACCCATGAAAGTTGAGGATTCTTAGAACACATTGCCACGTGGTGCAGCAGCAGCAGCGGCAGCACTGGTGTGGTCAGAACGCATCGACGCGCTAAGAGTCCGGGGGTTTAAACATGGGTATGGTCAAGGCTGCTCCTAGCGGGGCATTAAGTTAATTATTTACAATTAATAAAAAAAGTGAATCAAAATATCACGACGTTTTAAGTCAAAATGTAATTATTTTAGTTGCAGGCGTGTAAATAGCAATGCAAGGACACGACTCAACAGCGCAACACTGCCGTCTGGTGGTGATCCTTAGATGCTGTATAGATAAATCGCAGACAAGGCTGGATGAACGGGTGGGAAGTGGGAGCTTTTGTTCGGCCACGTTTCATCGCACCGCTCCGTCTGTGTGCGTTGGTAAAGGTCCTGTTGTAGGGGGAGGGGGGGTGGGGTTCGGGGGGGAGGTGGATATCACTTGCCACTGATGTTAGCCATGACCGGGAATTGAACTCGGGTAATGAGGTTCAGAGAGCAGTGCCAAGCGCTCCCAGTATGATAATTCACCACCCACAGCGGTTGGACGAATTGTCACGATTCGGAGTAGCGAGATCGATTTTCTTTTGTCCGGTCCTGTCTGTATTATTTCTTCCGTCCGCTCCATGAGCCGAGATGGAACATTGCTAGATATCTTTCAGATCATTTGCATCAATAGTAAACGATCACTGCTGAAGTGTATGAGCCTATGCATGCACCACGAACGTAAGAATAAAATGTAATCAGTGGATCACTGCATGCCTAACAAAGGAGCTGGAACAAACGGAGAAGCAATGCAAAAAATTACGCGGACAAACAAATCCAACAGATAAATCGATTCTCTTTGATTCTTTCGGTAAAATCACGTAGGTGAAAAAATAAAAAATAAGAAACCAAATAAAAAATTGAAATAACTAAATAAAATCACGACAAAATTACTGTAGTGGGCAATTTTGTTTCTTGCTGTGGTTGTCCCACCTGATGACGGAAGCTTGTGTTGCTTCCGAAACGTCGTGATTTAATTAAGTTATTTCTATTTTTTATTTTTATTCTTATATATTTTTATTTTTATTTTTTCACTTACGTGACTTTACCAAAAAAAAACAAAGAGTATGGATCCTTGCAGTCACGAAAGCTTCAAATCTAGAAAGACAAATCGATTCTCCAATTTAGGGCATCGAGTGCGATGGTTTTGGCACATCACAAATGACGCAACGGAGAATGAATCAGACGGGACTGCCTGAGATTGATACTGGTGGATGTTCACTCGCTCGGCCGACAAACCCGTCTCACAAACGACCATGTATGCGACTCAACAAGCTGGTGTGGTCCTCTGGCCCACCGTTTGTACGGACCCACAGAATGAGGCCAGAAACACGCCTGGAAAATGCCACACGTGGTCATCTGGGACAGCGCCTGGCTGCAGCAGCAGCAGCGCACGGCTGACCTAGGTACCGAGCTGCCGAGTAACATTAGACGCTGCGCCTGGATAGGTTGCTTTGCAGGTCACGATGACCTGCACCACCAGTCTGTTTGCTCACAACCGCTGCTGGTGTAAGAGGGCCTCCACTAGAGGGAGCTCCAGCTAAATAATCCCCCCGAGACTCCTAAAGGGTTCACGGCCACTTTTACCCTGCCATGTGCAACCTGGCGATCGACTAACTGGTATACAGGAGGTCGTGGGTTCGATCCCAACCCTGACGCCCGCTGTATATTTGGAGTTTGCGTGTCTCTCTGCCCGTGGTCGCGTGGATGTTTCTTTGGGACCTCTGCTTTTCCCCCTCCACATTTAGAATCAACATCACACGTTTAGAGCATTTGGCTGCTATAAATTTCCACACGATAAGCCACATCGTGGAGGAGGAGGGTGGAGGGAGCGAACACTTCTAGATTTGAAGCTTTCGTGACTGCAAGGATTCATACTCTCAGTTCTTTTGGTAAAGTCACGTAGGTAAAAAAATGAAATTAAAATTAATAAAAATAAAATAATAAAATCACGACGTTTCGGAGGCAACACAAGTCTCCGTCATCTGGCTGTGACGGTCCCACCTGATGACGGAGACTTGTGTTGCCTCCGAAACGTCGTGATTTTATTATTTTATTTTTATAAATTTTAATTTCATTTTTTTACCTACGTAGTGACTTTACCGAAAGAACTGAGAGTAGGAGCGATCACTGCCACCGCAGTTTTGCCCTCACCGGTTCCCTCCCGTCCATGGCCTCCATCCATTGCTTGCGGCTGTCTTCCGAGAGCGCCTGCAACGTCAGCACCCCGGCCCTGCGCAAGGTCGGGCGAGAGAGGCCGGCGGGGGGTGGTTACGACTCGGCGGCACGGGCGGGAGGGCCAAGAACGGTGCGATACGAACGCGGCACAACGCCCTCCGTGACAAAGCTTCATATTCTATAGGGGACCGTCATGAACGTCCATGCCCACCCCCCCCCCACCACACATACATCCCCCAATCATAGGCAGCTGCTTGCGGTGGCTGGCAAGGCATTCAAGTTCAAGAGGTCATCTATGTATGTTGAACTTCTTTCGCACCGTGCGTAGCCAACCGTGCTAATCAGAGGTGTGGGGGGAAGGACAACGAACAAAACACAAAAGTAGTTTTAAAGAAAATCGTTTTTAATCGAGATTTAAAAGTGCATAGCTCCAGTGGCCTTTTGATATCGGAAGGAAGAGCGTTCCAGACGGCCGCACGAGCGCAACGGAAAACGCGCGATGTGGACCGTCTTTATTCGACAGCTAGAGACAAGCCCCTGCCGCAAGGATGCCGGAGTTCGCGTGACGGCTTATGCTCTGTGACGAGATCACCAAGATTTTGTGGTTCATTCGCGGCAAGCACTTTGTGTGTAATCAGTGCGACATTATAATGTATTCGTTCGGCAACCGGGTAAATAAGCCAAGATACAAAAATTGTATCATTCTAAACTGAAGTGTTGTGTTTTTTGTATTTACTCTCTTGCCACAATCGGGGCATTTTCTAACGTCTCATCATCTTCAGCCTTCATCTATCCACTGCTAGATGAAGACCTACCTCCCTCCAAAGCCATCGCCATCTATCGCGGTTGTGCGATGCCACGATCCGTCTAGCTGCCCCCGCACACGAGCCGATCCAGTTGCTAAAATCTATGCCGGGCAATGACCTCTGCATAAAAAAAACTGACCTTCGTGTCATTTCACCTTTCGACAAAACCCAAACGGCACCCTGCCCCCGTGCAACAATACCTGTCGCCGAGGTCAACGTCGAAGCAGAAGCGGCGATCGATGGCGTCTGTGCGCTTGCGAACGCACGACCTCACGGTGAACTCCTCCTCCTCCGCCTGGCACAAACACGGCAGGCACGCACGCACGCACAGCAAAGACGGGAGAGGGAGGCGTCTCCACGCGGTTGACTACAACACGAGCACCAAACCTCGACCCAGCCGCGTGTCGCCTCACCAACTCAGGGCCCTCTCGCCCATCGAGCCAGACTCGGACGACTGTAGCAACGGTGAGGTAAGGTAAAAGGCGCAGGCCCGATGCCTGCTCGCCACTACTGCTGACGGAAGAACCTCCGCTTGAAAGAGCTCTACAGAGAGGCCCAACTGGAGGGTTGTTCGAGGCTCACTCTTTCGTGCATACAACACACCTAGGGAGAGGTGGGAGTGCCCACACTTTAGCCCACCCGCAAGGGACGCGCCAATCTCGGCTAGCTGTGGTGGACCCGATTCACGCTGCTGGGCGAACAGAGGCAGCGTGGGGTGGAGGAGGGGGGGGTGTGTGTTAGAGAAACTCGCACTGTTGTTTCAACTGCTACGCCGGGAGATCGAATCAAATCCAGTTAAATTTCAGTCATGTTTGACCCGCAATCGCACAATGTGAGCATTCAAACCGTACGGGGGCAGCGTCTGATGCGATTGGTCACATGACGATCAATTGCATACTTTGTCAGTCCACTGCCTGATGAAGGCCTAGGATGTGTTGCTCATGGCACTTGTTTGGCCATGCTTCAACAGGCGGTTCAGCGTGGGTTGGTTAAGGTTGGTAAACTTATCATTTAAATGAAATTACGTTATCGATAAAGAAATAAATGTTGATAACAATAGTCAACTTAACGAGCCAACTTGAAAGCTAAGCAGTGCTGAGCCAGCTTCAGGATATGCTTCTTGGCAGAAGAAACTTCCTGTTCCACATTCGCTCAAGGGAATTCGAAGCAAATCATTGGTAGATTTGGTATTCGTTTCAGACACAGCCTGCAGGCGTTTCGCTAGTCAGGGGGTGACGATTGCTACGCGTTTTCCCAATGGAATAATTATCAGCAAAATGCTTCAGTTTTGCCAAAATTTGGACCACGATGCCGGTAGACATGGCCTACTCTGCTTTGAACGTCTAAGGGATGTGTAATGTTCACTGTGCACCTCCGATTAGCACAGTTGGCTATGTATGGTGGGAAAAAAGTATGTTAATACATACGTAAAGCAGATGCTGCGTATTTACAGGTTCGATTCATCCGCAGTATTAACCAGGGCGGCTGGTGGGCTACAACCGGGAACACGTTTACCGCAGCGCGACCTGGGCTCGTACCGGCTTTCCCGATGTCTTGAGCTCGGAGGGGCCCCGGATAAACTGCCGGTTTGATTTCTTGTACTTGGAGTAGCTCTTCACCCACGTGGTCCCGAAGGGTCCTGTGCGACATGACAAAAACACAGAGACAAGAACACAAACAGAGATACAGCGGGCAGTGGTCAGCAGATCTATTAACCATCTATTAACTAAGCTATTTTAATTTTCGATTTAAAGCTTTCGTGACTGCAGGGATTCATCTTCTTGGTTCTTTCTGTAAAGTCACGTAGAAGGGAAGTAATAAAATAATAAAAATAAAACATAATAAAATAATTCTCACGACGTTTCGGCCACAACGCAAGCAGCCGTCCTCAGGTGAAGAACATGTCTGTCGATAAGACAGAGTCTAAAAAAAAAATCGACAGACATGTTCTTCACCTGAGGACGGCTGCTTGCGTTGTGGCCGAAACGTCGTGAGAATTATTTTATTATGTTTTATTTTTATTATTATTTTAATTTTGCCAGGTAAAGCTCAGCGGAGCTATGTAGCTCTTTTTCCAAAGCGACCTGGCCACAAATGATAGCTCAACGTAGTGGCGTATCACGTGGAAATGTGTAGCAGCCAAAAACTCTGAACACGTGATGTTGATTCGAAATGTGGAGGGAAAAATCTGAGGAACCGGAGAGAAATCCACAAGCAAACTCCAAATAAACAGGTGTCAGGGTCGGGATCGAACCCTACGACCTCCTGCATACCTGGGCGAGGGAGTTAACATTGCACCCGATTCAAGAGCCGAATGGCTCGCAGGGCTATACCAAATAAATGAAACTGAAAACTGAAACATCTCTATAATTAGTTTTTTTTGTTAGATCGCATAAATATGAATGTCGTTAAATCCGTCACCACCCAACACAGCAAGTTAGTAAGGTTTATCACGTAAACATGCCAATTTGTTACTAGTTCAGCACACCGGTGTTGGAGAGTAAACCCACAACAATAATATTTCGCCACCACGGCACCCTGCATATAACGTGGGTTATCACGTTTTACCAGGGTACCCCCTCGATCGTGATTTCGACCGTGCGACCGACGAGCGGTAAATAAACCATGCCGTAAGCTGTCCTCCCAAGAGGACGCAAGCGCATGCACCAGCGTGGGGATTAGTAGCACCGTGCGCGTGATCATTTGCAGATCGCAAAGACGGCCGCCCGTCAGGCAAACGGCACATCGCGATTAAAACCTCCTGTCAAAAAGTTAAAATCCTCGTGAATTACAACAACCTCAGGAAGACCTATTTCAAAAGATGGATAGAGATCAGTCGTTCAGATAAACGCTCGCTGAATCAGAGCGGCGGTCCAAGCTGGACGGAGAGTGGCGGCTCAGCGGTTGGCGCACTGCGCTGTGAACCCGGTGACCCGAGTCCGAATCCCGGCCATTGGCGAGTGACATGTGAAACCGGTCGTGGTTCCCCCTCCGCTTTTACCAAGCCGCACTGACCGGCGTGGTGAAGTATGGCCAAACAACCTCCCATCCAGTACCGGATTGACAACGGGTTATGTGATATTATTTTATTGTTGTTGTTGTTATCATTCGCGGAAAGATGTGTGGCCATACTGCACCACACTGGGTGTTGCGGCTTAGTGAAGAAACTCACCTGACATGGGGAACGCGCCACTCACACTCAGGTGACCTGTACAAAAACACCATCGCGTTAACATTTCCTGAACTGGAATCAATTCCAGATTTTGCGAGTTTTCAACTTGACGTGTGTGACGAACGCCCCTTCGCAGGGTACGTTAAAGTGTGTCCTTCGTGTGGATAAAAGAGGCCTATTGAAGTGACTTGGGAAGAAGTTCCCGCATCATCTCCTTTCCCGCGGGGCCAATTTCTGACAAAGCGCGATGCATTCCTAGCTGCAGGGTCCTGAATATAAATGCATTTGTTTTGTGAAAAGTACGCCAATTGGACAATTTGAATGGGATCGGGGGGGGGTATATGGAATATGAGAATATAATAAATAGCTGAATCTCTAATAAAAAAAATTTTCATATCAACAAAAATAATTCAAGTAATAATGCCCTTAGTTTGTCCACAAAAGCCTCACTTAGTCTCGGAATTATTTCTCAGGAGAGTCCTGCATTGTGAATTTCGACCAATTAACTCTTTCCCTTTCCGAGACGTCTGCACGTTTCAGGGTGGTGGGTGTCCCGCTCACCGCTGAATCGGGGAACGCGCAAGCAGTTGCCGTTAAATTATATTCAGCGAGGAGTAGCGCCGCTGTTTTTAAAGACGTCCTTTACTCACCGCGGAGAACCGTAGCGACACAACCGCACTCTACAATGGCTGGCGCCAAATTGTGCCGCGTGTCCTCCCGCGTGGCCTTTTACTTCCGATGCACGCGTGCATGCGAGTCCAAGCGTGCGTGCGTGCGCGCGTGGTGGGGAGCGTACGTTTCTCCAGCACGTAGAGGTAGCCCTCGACGGTGTAGTCGCTGGAGCGCTTGTGCTCCTCGGGAGATTCCCGCACCTTCTGCTTGAGGCGCTCCACCTCGGAGCGCGTGCTCTCGAAGCGGTCGCGCGTCTGCAAGAAGCGACACACCCACGCTGGCGTGCGAGACCTCACGCTGGCGTGCGAGGCCTCACGCAAGGCTGCTGCTGTTGCTGCGCATGGGCCCACGTGACCCCCCCCCCCGCCCTCAGTGACGTGGCTTAAAATAATACATTGTAGACTGACAGAATTTTGAATTATATTTAAAAACCCTCCCCAGTTCAATGGGGTTACTAGCTCACTGCCGTGCGCGTTCCATGTTCAAGTCCTCCGTGGTCAGGGAGGGGGAGGGGGGGTCAGGTGGCTCAAGGGTCAAAGTGCCCAGTTGGCCCTTCTGAGAACCTGGGGTAATAAATCCGGGCAGCTGCCTGCGACTAAACCGGGTCCCCTTCCAGCGTGTTGAAGACTTCACCGTTGCAGCCCAGTCCACCAATGACTGGCGAGAAAAATAAAAAACCCATCACGTAACAATTTCGCTCTGCACTAGTCAGATACGACTGGGCGATTGATTTTTCTTTTTACTCCGGAAAGACTTGCTGAGTCTCAAGACGATGCATTAGGAGGGTTTTGCGGTGGGAAGCTCGGCCAGTTCCATTGACGAGCGTTTGGCTTTATGTTGGCGGAAACCGGAGGGCCCGGAGAAAACCCACCAGGCGGACGTGGGGAGGGGTGGAAGGGGGCGGCACTCCTCACAGCCATCTCCTGGCCACCTCACAGCCCCACGTCCAGAACGCCTGGCACGCCCTCGTGAGCCCTCACACTAAACCAGGGCCGCTGAGTTTCCGAGAGACCCGATGATCGGGTGCATCAAGGGCGATGTGCGTGTACGTGCAGGGTGGTCCGGACCGTCTCGTGACGCTCTCTAAAACTTAATCTTTTTTAAAAGTAAGCTTTATTCAAAACAGAAATTAATATGCGAAGGAAAAAAAACACATGTTAGGGGTCAATTAATTGGAGGAGGTCACAAGACATCTGGACCATCCCTGTACACGGGCAGCCCCTTGGCCAATCCACTGCTGGATCAAGGCCTCCCCATGTCGGTTGGTCAGCAGCCAGCCGGTGAAGGAGGGGAGTGCAAAGAATGGAGAGCATTTAACGACAGCACAGCAACGGATTGTGCTGCATCTGCCCTCTGCTGCCCACCACGTAGCCCAGCAGCAGCAGCAGCAACCGCCGATAGAAATCTTCTTCATTTACGGCGGGTCCCCCATCCGAGCGTCATTCAGGCTTATCCATTGGCTGTGTCGAGTGGTGGCGGGGAGGGGGAGTTAACATTCATATTCACGCAATCTAACCCAAAGAATAACCTTTCGTATGGATGATATTGTATTCTTGGTTATTTCGGTAAAGTCACGTAGAAGGGAAATAATAAAATAATACAAATAAAACAAGATAAAATTCTCACGACGTTTCGGCCACAACGCAAGCAGCCGTCCTCAGGTGAAGATCAGGGCTGTCGGAAAGACAGCAGTCCTAATTATGTTATTCTTATTATTTACCTGCTACGTGACTTTACCGAAAGAACCAAGAATATGAATCCATGCAGTCACGAAAGCTTTGAATCGAAATGTGGATGATACTGGTCGTGAAAGGCGACGTGTTAAACTGATGCAGGCTCCATCCTGCTTTGCTTCCGGATGACTCGAGCAAAGGGCATGATGCGGAGTACCCAGTGACGAGCAGTATCTGAACTTGATTATCATTATTGCTGCCGTATCCATCGACAGATCCGGCAACAAATGAGTAGCCGGTGAGGTACAATAATCACAACAACAGCAGGAGCGGCGACACTGGAAGATCAAAGGCGATGGGACGGGTGCGTGACGGTACCCATAGAGCTCCGTGCATGGGCTGCGCCAGCGATAACGGCACTTGCACAGCGAGTCTGTCAGGGTCATCGAGCAAAACGAGTTCTGAGTTCGATTTCTCACGCAGGAGAGGAATGTTACCCGGCGGCAGCAAAAAATAAAACGACCACCGGTCGAAGTGCGTTTCGTAATTCCGCATGGATATTGTCAACACCGCGAAAGAGATCACAACCAGCGGTGCCGACGTTGCCACATTCAGCCTTTGCTTTCTTAAACGGCGCCGCGTATCGCAGTGTGTATGAAACATTAACAGATTTTGTTTGTTCCTTTCAAACTAAAACATGATTTTAACACGTTGACAGCCATGCGATTTATTGTTGGCCGTCCAGCAGCCAAGCCCTTTTTTAAAAACCTTGTCCTTACTTCCTCCCCCCACCCCCCCCAGTAGCAAATAGCACGTCGAGAGCAAAAATGCCATTGGTTCGATTCGCTCCACTGGAAAATTGCCACGCGATCCGTGGCGGGGTTTGTACGGAAGCTGACGGTGTTGATTGAGTCTGTGTTTCTCAAAGACGCCGAGGGGGCGGGGGGAGGGGGGGCTTAGGGATCGGAACGCTGAGCCGGCACCACTGATATATCCCAGGTTCGATTATGGATTTCAGCCGCCTGTGATTTAACCAAACGTGCAGTGAGTTGATGGCCTCAACCAGTTACCAATGGCTGCGCCAACATTTGTTGACATTAAATATGGCCCTGATTCCAGCTCTGAGAAGTCAAAATATCATACGTGGTGGGTGGGAAAGTGCTGCCCCCTTCTGTATGGACCACAGATCACTTTATGGGATGTTAGAGGTAGCTCTGTAATATCTACTTCCACGGGCCATTCTCCAAAATGAAGGCTTGCCACTGCTCTGCGAGACTTCCCAATGGATATTTCGTCTTCTGACATGACACCGATAGCGCACACACACACACACACAAAATGGGGAAAAAATATGAGCACGTGCGAGTGCTTCCCAACAACAGCGTGGGTGGTGAATGCACCTACCCTCTGTATGCTCATCTGCAGCTGTATCTTGTAGAGGTTGAAGTCCTTCGCGTACTCGTAGCCCTGGTGGTAGGCCGTGCACAGCCCGTGGGTGAACGCCAGAAGCTGTGGAAACAAAGACAAAGATTCCCCCCCCCCATGTAGCCTTCACAGACTGTTGGGGCAAGGACTGTGAGTGAGAACCTATATGGCCGCCACAGCACACGAGGGGGTGGGTGGCTAGTACCGAATCAAAAATATTTACTGGTGTTGGCCGTGAGCGGGAATCGAACTCGGGTCGTTGGGTTTGCAGCGCAGGGCACTAAGCTTTGCGCTAATGCTCCCCACAGTCCCAGTTTTTTTTGTCAGTTGTGCGATCATACAACGCTCGAAACAATGCAGTTACGCGCATCCCTCCCTTCTTCTTGTGCTGCAAGATATTCTGCTGTGGTTTTCACACCTGATGATGATTGCTTGTGTTGCAATCGAAATGACGTGAGAATTTGATTATTGTATTATTTCCCTTCTACGCGACTTTACCGAAAGAACCAAGAAAATGTGTTTAATTTAGTCAACAGATCTGCTGACCACTGTCGTCATCGGGTACGGCGCCCGACTGGACGATCGCAGAACGTGCCGACGGCTGCCGACGGCTGCCGCGGGTGAAAAAATAAAATTTGAACTCACAGGCTCGATGAACTCGAACATCTTGCGCTCCTGCACGGCCTGCACGGTGCTGATGTACTGCAGCGACGTCTCGCAGAACTGGCTCCGCTCTTGCTCGACATACTTGTCGTGCTGGGGACGTCAGGATGCACGAGACGGGGGAGGGGGTTAGGGGGGATTAGGCGCGTAACGATTCATCGATTGTGATCGAGTATATTCTGATGCGTTTGCTTCGTGTTACTCATTTAAAATATGCTCCACTTAAGGATTTTGTTTATATGTTATCTTTATTTTTTGTTGTTGATTGCCTAACGCTTCTCTGTTTTACTCGTGTTTCCTTGATTGTATTTTGTTGTTGTTGTAACATGCTGACGCTGCCCCCACTGGACATCTGTGAAAAAGAGCTTCATAGCTCATCAGATTCCACCGGTATGAATAATGATTCTGATCCTGATTTAATTAACGTAGTACTGCGTCGTTTTCGCCAAAATATATCTCGATTGTGGTGTCGGCATAGCAACGAGAAATGAAGAATCCACGTGGATTTCTTGCCGAGACCGGTCCGCAGGAGGTGAAAACCACAGAGCTACCCCCCTCTCTTTGATGTCATGTCATGTGATCTCCAGTCCAAACAGAAGAGGGCAGCACTTTACCACCCTGTCTGTACAAGCGAGGAACGTTTGTTGCGTTACAGGCAGGCTGATGTTTTAATTCGCATGGTTTTTGTGTGTGTGTGTGCAGTCACTGGCGGTCAGCGCGCTGTGCTACAAACTCCTGGGCCTCCCCTAGGGCAACTCAGCCTCAAATGAGTACCTGGTGCTGTGTGTAAACTTCGCCACTCGGGAGACAAAGGCGGCCGGGCGTGGTGCTGGCCACCCACCCCCTCGTGTGCCGTGCCGGCTTTCATAGGTGCTACTCGCTAACAGCATTTGCCCCTACAGTCTGTTAAGGCTACACGGTGGATCTTTGTCTTTGCGGTCATTGGTGACCGGGCTGAGACCATCAGCTCGCTGCACTTGTGGCTGCCTGGAATCGAACCCAGCCAGTGCCCGCTCAACCGCTCCGGACCTCGGAACCGCAACGCCACTTTTCGACTGCACCAGATTCTAAAGAGGAAAACGCGTCTCCGGCGCCCGTTGGATACTTATTCACGCGTGCTTCTTGTCAAGAGGAAACACGCTGTCTGGAGATGACCCCCACCCCCACCCCCCCCCCTAGGGATTTAACGTTTGAGAAAATTTTTCGGGTAAAATGTTTTCACCTTCGCCCGAAATCAGGATCGAGTTTGTGATCGTAAATCACGTGACGGAGCGCGAGCGGTTTGAAAAGGAAAAAAACATCCCCGCAAAATGTCTCAGGATAAGTCTTCACGACGATCGCCGGACGTACTCACAACGCACGTCTAACCGCACGCTTGGAGGCCGCATTATCGCCTCTAAATTTATGCGGATTACATGCAAATAATATGCCGTTACATTTGGGCTCGTGGAGCAAACAAAACCCGGGGCGGGCGGTTAAATGCGTTGATGCCCAAAAGGCAGAGAGGAAGTAAACACTCGGACGCCTTCCTGCTTGAGAGGCAATGGAAGCTGACGAATCACAGGGTGACACTGGTGACACGTATCAATATTACACCGAGGTAGAGAGAGGAACACACGGGTTAGTGAAGAATCACACGTTACAGCACACAATCGTTTTTGCTTTCAAACAGAGCGATTTGCTCACCTTTCAAAAGTGTTTTGCTAACCAACTTTGTACTCCGATCGTTCCTTTAACAACTGTTTGTTCTTATGCCCCTACAGATGAACGGACGCTTGGCCAGACCGTGTGTGATAGTGAAGCCTTGGGGGTGGATGGATCACGGTTGACGATGACGGAGGAGAGCAGATAGTGCCAACTCGGCAACGTGGCTCGGGGAAGAAAATCGATTTCAACATGTGGATGGTAAATAGGGTTGTAATCAAAATTGATGATAGTATTGATGGTGACAATGATGACCACGACGATGATGATGACGATGGCACTGCCGCTTGTGGTTGTGCTGCGTAGCTCTCCAACGTTCTCGGGCTGCACCCGAGCGTTGCTTCGGCGCGACTTTCCGCACGTTTCCACGCCACAACTCTGGGAGCTTCTTCAACGAGCCTTCCAGAAGATCCCAGGGCGCGCAGCGAAACGTCGGGCATCGTGCAGAACAACAACACGCGGCGGCGACAAACGGCAAACACATCGGAGGGGCGGTGACGGTGACGGTCGGTGAGGGAAGCGAAGAATCGACGGCCGCTCGCTTACCTCGGCAAACTGAGCTTCCTTCTTCTTGAACGACAGCCCCAGGTTCTTCTCGACGAGGCTGTAGTACTTCTCCGTCTGTTTCTCGAACTTCTTCTTCTCCTCCTGCCGGCGGGAACAGCGCGGGAAAGGTGACACCGGCGTGTTGGGGAGTAAACCCGAGTACTGCGACGTTTAGCATTTGATTGCAGCCAGCTTCATCAAGCGATTTAGCCAGATCTGTGAAGAGGTCCTCCCCTGCTGTAAATGTTATGGGCTTCCTCCGCAACCCACCAGTGTGTGTATAAGTAGTAACGCACGTTGTGTTTACGTGAAAAAAAACCTCACTAATTGGCCGTGTCGGGTGGTGGCGGGTTCAACGACGTTCATATTTACGCAATAAAACCACATTTTTTATTTTGGATCACATTGTTCGAAGAAAGCCTCCTAACTGCCACGTGTTAAACTGGCAGGGGTCACGCGTCTCGACTCCGTGGTGAGGCAGTGTTTTTGTTTTAGCGTTTCTGGCGTCCTCCACAACTGGGAGGGGTCAACCGCCGAGATGCCACCGAGGCTCACCCCGCCAACGCACCACACCCCAGCTGGGGGGGGGGCCGGGGGGGGGGGGGGGTGGGCGATGACTACGAGGAAGACGACTTGTTCAGCGGGATTTGACGACAGACTTCTGTCGAGCGGCAACAACAACAGCTGCTGCTGCTGCTGTTCGCGCGAGCGACTCAAAACTTTGGTGCACGCGGGGGTGTCGTCCCGGAACAGCGTGGCACATCGTGGGGGTCGTGTTGGCTCAGGCATTGGGAGTGGTGGTGGTGTGGCGGGGGTGGGAGTGGAAAGGCTAGCCCCGGACAAAACAAACGCGCAGACGATGTTACACGCAGCTTGTGTCGAAACGAGGCGAGAAAACCCATATGTTGTTCACCGGCTGTAGAGAGCAGTTGAAGCGGTATAAACGCACCGTCTCTTTTTGTTGTTGTTTCTTAAAAGCCATCGCTCTAATTGCTGACGTGCCTGCAGTCACGTGGGCACCGAGTCACTGACCCCCGACAAGTGGGGGGCAGCTTATATGCTAAACCTCAAATTATTCATTTGCCGCTTCGCAAGCGCCGGTTCATCGGGAAAGCCGGATAATCCGCTAATTAACTGTATACGGCCCATCTCTTAATTGCGCTGCAGTTTAATTTGTTCTGGCTCAGAGCAATCTCGTCGAGTTTTAGGGCCACGCGTCTCCGAACAGACGAATGAGAATTCTAGATTTGAAGCTTTTGTGACTGCAAGGATTCATACTCTTAGGTTTTTTCGGTAAAGTCACGTAGGTAAAAAAAAATGTTGAAATAATAATATAAATAAAAAATTATAAATCACGACGTTTCGGAGGCAACACAAGTCTCCGTCATCAGGTGGGTGACTTTACCGAAAAAACCTAAGAGTAAGAAGCAGAGGTCGCAACCGGGTACCCGATACCCGTACCCTACCCGATACCTGGCTACCCATACCCGGCCAGGTACGGGTACGGGTAGCCGTTTGCGACCCTGGTGAGGCCGGGTACGGGTACGGGTAGACCATGAGTCACTGGTGAGTAACCGTTTGCCACTCATTTCGGGTAGGCTACTGGTACGGGTAGGGAACGGGAACCCGTATCCGGCTGGGTACGGGTACGGGTACCCATTTGCGACCCTGGTGCGGCCGGGTACGGGTACGGATAAGGAATCAAAACCCGTTTGCGACCTCTGGTAAGAAGACGAATGAGACACCGCGGTCCCGCCTCCGTTTCCCGATTTCCGCTTCCCATTGGCGACATTTCTGACCCCATCCTCCAGCGAGGCCGTCTTGCAGCTTCGTGGCCCGGCGCACAGAAAATGGATGGCGGGGTCAGGCCGAGACGGCAACTATTTTTCTCTTCTTGGTTCTTTCGGTAAAGTCACATAGAATGGAAATAATAAAATAATAAAAATAAAACATAATAAAATAATTCTCACGACGTTTCGGCCACAACGCAAGCAGCCGTCCTCAGGTGAAGAACAGGTCTGTCGGGGAGACAGAGTCTGAATGAGAATTATTTTATTATGTTTTATTTTTATTATTTTATTATTTCCATTCTACATGACTTTACCGAAAGAACCAAGAAGATGAATCCCTGCAGTCACGAAAGCTTTAAATCGGCAACTATTTTCTTTGTTCGTCCATCCTCGAAGACACGTCGAGCCGTTCCGTGGTCGTCATCGCGCTGGTGGCGAGCGCTTGACGGACAACGAGGAAGAAGCAAACCATGGTGGCGAAATGCTATCGGTGTCTCATTTGCGTCGACTCGTGACATACTGTTGACCTTTTGTTCCGTCTCATTTCTACCGTCTCAAACATTCCCTCTCATCCACAATAGAGGTTTGTTTGGGGTTGGATCGCGTAAATATATAAATGTGTCGTTAAAACCCACCACCCCCCGACACAGCCAACCAATAAGGGTTGTCACGTAAAGAAAACGTGGCCAATTCGTTACGAGTACAGCACTAGTGTGTAGTGTATAGTGTAGTGTATAGTAGTGTATAATGTAGTATACTAGTACAGCACACCGGTGTATAGTGTATAGTGTAGTGTATAGTGTGGTGTATAGTGTGGTGTATAGTGTAGTATACTAATACAGCACTAGTGTGTAGTGTATAGTGTAGTATACTAGTACAGCACACCGGTGTATAGTGTATAGTGTAGTGTATAGTGTGGTGTATAGTGTGGTGTATAGTGTAGTATACTAATACAGCACTAGTGTGTAGTGTATAGTGTAGTATACTAGTACAGCACACCGGTGTGTAGTGTGTAGTGTAGTGTATAGTGTAGTATACTAGTACAGCACGAGTGTGTAGTGTATAGTGTAGTGTATTGTATAGTGTGGTGTATAGTGTAGTATACTAGTACAGCACACCGATTGTGTGTTGAAGAGCCACGCCACAGCATTTACAATCTGAGTACGACGTTTTGCCCGTAATTTACAACTAGCTTCATCAGAGTTTGTAAATGTTGTGGCTTGGCTCTCCAACACTTAATCGGTGTGCTGTACTAGTGACGAATTGGCCACGTTCTGTTTACGTGACAACCCCTTACTAGTTGGCTGTGTCGGGTGGTGGCGGGTTTTAACGACACATTTCTATATTTACGCGATCCAACCCAAAAAAAACCTCTATTATATGGATGATATTGGTCGCGAAAGCCTGCTACGTGTTAAACTGATTGCCTCTATATTTTATTCCGTCTCACTGGGTGCTGGGACATACCCTCTTGGCGAACTGCTCAAAGGTTTACCGACAATCTGGGAGACACAAACTGGAGAGCGCAACAAAAAAAAAGTTCCAACAATTTGCGAAGATGCACAATAGGTGCTGCTGCTGCTGCTACGCCGACAGCTTCCTGCACCGCCAATGAAACACTTCAGCAGGCGACCGGCGCGTCGGGAATCGCGCTACGTAACCCGTGCAGTTGTCTCCGTGGGGCACAAGCGAGGCAACGCCCCGGCCGGGCCGGTTTCACCACCACTTGGTGATGCGCCAAGAGCAATGCGAACGCCGCGTGACTCGGAGAGTGCGATAGGCATCCAGAGGAAGCAGAAAAAGTGATTTCTTGCTCAAATGAGCACTTAAGGGGGTGACCCTCTACAATTAAGAGTTGTGAGCAAGTGGTAGGAAATCCCAACACTGCTATGACAGAGCAGACACCACTGATTTTAACGACCCTGGAGGGATGATGGGTTCGAGTCAATCCCCCCCTCCACCCCCTTCCAGTGATAATTTGAACTGGCACCTGATTGCTAGTCACTCGCTCTGCAGCTCAGCTGCCTGGACGGTTAGATAACAATCGTAATATAATTATGTAATTTGTAACGCACGTAGTAATTCACGGACATAACTGACCATCACTCCGAGGTGGAGTCAATCTCGGAGTGTCGCGCGAAAGCCAGACGAATGAGGTGGGGCCTTTAAATGTCTCTTCAAGTCATAAACCTTCAAGTACCCTTCACCCCGCATGAGGTCCCCACCTCGGTGGGGGCGGTGAGCCCAATCTTCCCCCTTCATTGGGGCCCTGTCCCCGCAGAAATCGGGTTGCTGTTTACGGAGTTTCTGTTCCCCCCTCCGCTCTGCCATCGGTGTTTTGTACCGGGCTGGCGTTGAGTTGTGATAAAAACTATTCTTAAAAAAAGCGCCTCTTAAAAGTCGGTGCAGAGCGAACGCTGCTGCTGCTACTGCTGCGAATGTGCAGCAGCAGCAGCAGAGACGGTGACGACGATGACGATGGTGACGATGATGACGACGATAACGACGACGATGATGATGACGACCACGTTCCGGATGGCGAGAGCTGCCACGGTGAAAAGATGTGCGTCAGTGAGTATGGTCCCACTCCTTGGTTTGGAGAGGAGGTTGTTGGTGGTGGTGGTGGAACTTGTGATGACTTTCTTCCCTTGTGATCCAACTCATCGTTGCGACGTGATTCAAACATCGACCGTTTAGTTTTAACGCTGCATCGAATGTAATGGCCTCTAGTGGCTGGACGATGATGATGAATGAATTGGCATGCAGTGTACATACAAAGAGTAAGAGTCAAAATTGTTTGAAAGGAGGAACCAACAGTTTTTGAATGCTCACATGAATTCAATAAATACGTGTGTGTCCATGTATGTACCCTCTGGGGCGGTGGTGCAGTGGTTAGCGCACTGCGACATGAACCCCAGCGACCCACGATCGATTCCCGCTCACGGTCAACATCAGCGATATGTATCAGCGACGGATATCCTGGGCGTCCTGAATTAAACTGGGTTGTCAAGTGCGGCGAGCTGATGGTAACAATGCTGGTCACCGATTGTGCTACATTTAAACACGTGAAGGCCGTTGTGACCAAAGTTAGGATTTACAATTAATTTGAGTGTCAGATCACGCGACGTGACCCGAAAATCAAATATGAAGCTTGATTTGGATAAAATACAGCTCTGATTCTTATATACATTTAAAGCTATTGGTTTGAACGTGATGATGATCTGTGGCAGGGCGTGTGAGAAAATATGCCACAAGTGCGGATTTATATTTTTTAAAAAGATGTATGCAATCTCTTTGAAAATAAAAGGTAACTTAAATTCTCGCTCCACTCTCACCTTGGCTGTTTCCAGTTGCTGCCTGAAAGACTCCAAAGGTCGAATCATGATCTTCTGAGCATTTTCCATCTGTCAAGGCGAGTCATAACACACACAAGACACACGCGCGCACACACACAGCAGAGGTCGCAAACGGGTTTTGATTCCTTACCCGTACCCGGCCGCACCAGGGTCGCAAATGGGCACCCGTACCCGTACCCGACCGGGTACAGGTAGCCGTATCCTACCCGTACCCGTACCCTACCCGAAATGAGTGACAAACGGTTACTCACCAGTGACTCACGGCCTACCCGTACCCGTACCCGGCCGCACCAGGGTCGCAAACGGGTACCCGTACCCGTACCCGGCCGAGTACGGGTAGCCGGGTATCGGGTAGGGTACGGGTAACAGGTACCCGGTTGCGACCTCTGACACACAGGCAATACTATTACTCATAACAACTCACTTCCAGTGTCTACAACAGCGTATCTGTGGAGTTGATGTAGTATTAGCTCCAGTAGTCAAAAGACTTTGACAATCTCAAGACATTTCCTTTTTTTCTTGGCCTCATTTGCATTCCCTGACATTCTAACTTACTTTTCTAATCCCTCAATACGACGCCTCTTGCTTGCGTATGTTCTCTCATCCATGTGCACCTCATTCAGTCTCGGTATAATTCAAAGCATGCTTCCTTGTGCACTTTTAAACTTTTGTTCCATCTTATTCGTCAACGACCGTGCTTCTGGTGCATATACGACAGCATGTCGTAGGCACTGCTTTGAATAGACTGTCTTCTTTAGGCACACTGTCTTCTTCTTTTGATTTGTGGTCCTTTCCCCACACCTCCACTGAGCACGGTTGGCTACGCAAGGTGTTAAATAAGTTCAACGTACATACACTGGTAGAATAGCGATGAATGCGAGATTATTTCAAAGCTAGTTTCACCATGCGACTCAGGGGTCAGAGATACTGTGCAAGCACTGCTGAGATCCTGGATTCCAATCTGCATTTCAATCACCCATGGTTAAATCGGGCTCAGGCGTAGTTGATGCGGTGAGATGTTAACTACCTCACCTGGTAACCAGGAGGTCGTGGGTTCAATCCCAACCCTGGTGCCTGTATATTTGGAGTTTGCATGTCTCTCTCTCTATCTTTGCCGTGGTCGTGTGGATTTGATCTCCTGGTCCTCCGGTTTTTCCCTCCACATTCAGAATCAACATCACGCGTTTAGCGTATTTGGCCGCTATACATTTCCACATGGTGAGCCGCTTTTTGTTGAGCTATCATTTGTGGCAGCCAGGTTGCTTCTGACAAAGAGCTGCATAGTTCAGTTGGGCCTTGCCTGGTAAAATAAGAAATAGTTTATTAGTTTTAGTTTAGTGATGTATTATAAGCCCCAAAATTAAACACGTCATCTGGTGATACACCATTGCCAGTGGTGCACAAAGCACTAACAATAAAAAAAATAACTCAACACGTTCGTCAATAAAACGGGGGCCTTAAAAGAAAATAATTTACAAATAGGCAACGTTCGTGAATGGCCCTTCGCCACACTACATAGGAAGGTAGAGTGGCTCACTCAGGAGTGGCTCACTCAGGAGTGGCTCGCTCACTCCACCTCTCTGCCCTCTCTATTTGTGCGCTTTGAAGAAGGCCCATTGTCGGGAACGTCGCATATTATTAAAAACAAATTCTTCTATGGCCACACTGTTATTGACGAACGTGATGATTTTTAGTTTTACTCCCAGTACAATTGAACAACTGACAAACAGAAGCGTTTGAGAAGTTTGCGAGTAACTTTTGTCGGCTCCGTTGGCTTTTTTTTTACAATTTTAACCGATGGATTCACAACAGTGTTGTGAATGTTTTAGCTCGAGCAACGGCTCTCAAAAGCTGAACACACCAACGCACACATTCCGGGAGCCCGCGTCACAGGTGTTGTTTAAAGACAACACAACGGGAGGTAACGATTGACCAACAGTGGTGGGAAACGCTGCAGAGTGAGACTCATTAGTGGTTATTGTTACTGCTGCTGCTACTGCTGTTGTTAGAGCTGCTGCATTTGCTGCTGCTGTTGCTATCTCAGTCAGTCAACCCATGGCACCTGGGTCTGTCCCGTGACTTCCTGTTAGCGAGCCTTTGACACTGCACATGGCCTCAAAGTGCACCTGGCCTGACACCGTGGTAATGTCACCACCACTAAGTAGCGAATGGTGGCTGTTGTTGTTGCTATTGCTGTTAAGGATGATGCTGCTGCTGTTGCTACTGCTGCTTTTACTAATGCTGCTCCGATAATACCTGCAGCAAAACTATGTCAGCCAAGAACGGGTTTTGCGGCGGCCGAAAGCACATTTGTTCAGGGCCCAAAACTCCCGAGTGGCCCACAAACAAGACAAATCATCTTCTTGGGTCTTTCGGTAAAGTCACGTAGAATGGAAATAATAAAATAATAAAAATTAAACATAATAAAATAATTCTCACGACGTTTCGGCCACAACGCAAGCAGCCGTCCTCAGGTGAAGAACAGGTCTGTCGAGAAGACAGAGTCATTCAGACTCTGTCTTCCCGACAGACCTATTCTTCTGAATGACTCTGTCTTCTCGACAGACCTATTCTTCTGAATGACTCTGTCTTCTCGACAGACCTATTCTTCTGAATGACTCTGTCTTCTCGACAGACCTATTCTTCTGAATGACTCTGTCTTCTCGACAGACCTATTCTTCACCTGAGGATGGCTGCTTGTGTTGTGGCCGAAACGTCGTGAGAATTATTTTATTATGTTTTATTTTTATTATTTCCATTCTACGTGACTTTACCGAAAGAACCAAAAAGATGAATCCCTGCAGTCACGAAAGCTTTAAATCGAAAGACAAATCATGATCAGCCCACAGCTGGAGGAGGCCCTCCCTGCACTGTCATTGTCCACGCTATCCTGCGATGCAACTATTCCATCTCGCGGTTGCACACAGACGATTTCTTCGCTCCAGCTCCTCTGGTGGACGTCCTCTCAGACACGGTCCATCCCTTATTGATCTTGACCATCGGTTGAGGTCGTTTCTAGCGGCGCCTCTTGACCATTGCCACTTACACTTCCTGGCAGTTTGACCGATATCGTTAACACGCGTGTGTCGCATGTAAGCATGTTGCACTTCTTTAGCGCCGTACGTAGCCAACCGTGCTCATCGGAGCTGCGGGGGACGGGCAAAAAAACTAAACGCAGAGTTCTCGAATCCAGGCGTCCCTCTTCCCATCCCTTGATGCGATGCTCAGCGCGTGCCTCTTCGTAAATCTCTGCACACTTTTCACCCTTTACTTCACCGGCTTTTCTCGACGTCAATGTTTCTGAGCCACGCTCCACAGCAGGTGGCACACGCATTGATGGATAATATATACTTTTTAACCAACATTATTTTAATTCGGACAGTAAAAACGACACCAACTTCATGGACTGCTGTCCGTCTAGTTTGTTTTGATGAACGAATCAACCCTCGCGTATCGCTGTCGTGGTGAAATAGCTCACCATGGGAGGGGGCCCAGTAGATGTGGAACACCCCGCCAATGCTGGGCCAATGCTTCCAACAACGTGCCAACGTTGGCCCAACATTGTATGTTGAAACCATCAAACTATAAAAAAACAAACTAATTTAACTATTTCAATTTTACCAGGTAAGGCCCACTGAGCTGTATTAGATCTTTTTCAGAAGTGACTTGTCCACAAATGACAGCTCAACGAAGCGGCTTATCGCGTGGAAATATATAGCAGCCAAATACTCTAAGCACACATTGATCCTAAATGTGGCGGGAAAAACCGGAGAGCCCGCAAAGAAATACACGCAACCACAGGGAGAACACGCAAGCTTCAAATATACAGGCGGCAGGGTTGGGATCGAACCTACGACCCAGACGAGGTGGTTAACATCTCGCCACCACAGAGTGTGGACCCGTCGGCCCCGGCGGTGCCGGCTACGAATTCAAGGCGACGCGTCGGCGATCGGCGCCGGTGCTGGAGGGCGAGGCACTCACCACGCGCGATCGCTCCTCGTCCATCAGACGGAGCAGCTCGGCAAACTCCTGCAGCGCCACGGCTGAATGGGGAGGAGAAAAATATCACAATGAGACACTCGAAGAAATACGTGGATTTTGCATTGCGCGACGATTGCAAGCGCATCTCGACGCGCTGTACAGAAACCGTTTGAGGTGCGCCTCATGTGCATGGTTATATATTCAGTTTGTATAATATAAGTATATATGCTGAACTTCTTTCGCACCGTACGTAGCCAACCGCGCTAATCGGAGCAGTGCAGTGCTTCTGCACCATTTTCATTCCACTGCTCACGCTTTTCGAGCTGGCTCGAAATTCGCGGCACATCATTTGCCCAACTGCGCATGCGCGACCGAGGGTAGCGATAATGCCGGGGAGGTGAGGGCTGACGGCCGTGTCTGCTGCCAACGGAGAGGGTAGGGCAGGAGGTGGGGGGGGGGTAGGAGTGGGGGCAGGATCGGCCACTGAACGGCACGGGAGAGAGGTTCGTCCGTCCTGGCTGGTGAACTGTGAGGCTCTTTCCTTTTCGATAAAATTCCGAAAATACAACGGTACACCTTGGGACTTTGCCGAAGCGTACTGGATGTTCTTTTGCACACCGCTCGTGTAAGCGCTGCTCTCGGGAAAACATAGTCAGTCATATGTAGCACTGCAACATCGTCTGTCATGTGTGAAAGGGAAGAGGAAGCTCTTGAGCATGGCCTTGAGCAGGGGCAGGGAGCCGCCGGCATGGATGGCTGGAGTGGGGGGGGGGAACAACCGAGAGACGCTGCGGTCACCAAGCAGGAAGCCAAGGCACCCGGATGAATTGTTTGTATTGGTGACCGACGTACGTGTGTACATGCGGCGCTGCCCTTTGTGTAAATAAGGGCCTCGCCACGTCAGGTAGGTTTTCGGCAGTGAGTTGACCGGTTTCACCACGCAGGTCAGCATCGATTTGGTGAAGGTGGGGAGAATAGACGCTGGGAGCATAGAAGTACAGCACAATTATCGAGTATGCTGCATTGCCCTCTGCTGTCCACCACATAGCCCCGCAGTGGCCAATAACTGTGTCCCGCACGGCGATCGCCAGTGAAAGTACCGTCCGGGCTCGGCTCTGCTTAGCTTATGCGTTAGCTCAGAGGTGAACAACACATTCAGAATAATTCAAAATTAAGTGGCAGTAATAAATGTTGCACCGCTGTTTTCTCCCACGCGTACCAGACTTGATTTCACTGAGTGTACCTCTTGTCCTCTTGTAGATGTTAACTTCCTCACCTGGTATACAGGAGGTTGTCGGTTCGATCCCGACCCTGATTCCTGTATATTTGGAGTTTGCATGTTTCTCTCCCTGTGGTCACGTGGATTTTTATCCAGGCACTCCGGATTTTACACATTTAGAAACACGCGTTTTAGAGTATTTGGCTGCTATCAATGTCGACATAAGCCACTTTATTGGGGCCAGGTCGCTTCTGAAAAAGAGCGACATAGCTCAGTTGGGCCTTAGCTGGTAAAATATAAACTTAGTTTTAGTTTAGCATGGCCACGTGCCCGAGCGTGAGTTGCTGCAACATAAAAGAATGGAATTCTATTGCCACATCCAGCCTCATAAACACACAAGTTGAGGGTGGTGCGGACCAGCTCTAAGCTGTCTTTGTTGTGGTTCCAATTCAAAATCATATGGGTGCTCATGCAGATTCTACTGTCCTGTACAGGACGAACTGGTACAAGGACATTGAAAATAAAACCACAATCATTTTGTTCCCCCCCCCCCCCCCCCAGGCGAAGAATTAATTTGGAACTCTCGCACAAACGGCCAGAGGGATGGGATATGACAGAACTAGTCCCGAAAGCCCTTCAAATGACCTCTGGTATCCACACAATAGTGGGCACTGCACCGTCTCAAAATGCCCATTTGCAGTGGATAGTGCTCATCGCAAACTGCAGCACAATGCCATGTTCAAAACCTCACAGCTGGAATTTATCCAAATGAAGTGAGAAAGTAAAATTATGAAACACAGATTGTTGTCTGGGTGCAATCATTGGTGAGGTGACGAAGCTGAGACCATCAATTTACTGCAGTTGAAACCCCCGGTGAAAATCACAGCCAGTTTCTTGGATTCAAACCCAGGCTCCGTGCCACGTCTGACCCCCCCAGAGGCCATAATGCTGCTCAAACCGCCACATTCCCTGCTTGTTAACTCGATTAACAAAAGCAGTACATTTTACCTCCATATTTCGGGCCAAAGTTTCCAAAGTCGGTATTGCAGTGACCAGGGGACTCTTTTTAACGTACGTGGCCTCTGCATTGCAACCAATATAAACTATTTCTTAAACTTAGATTTAAAGCTTTAATGACTGCAGGGGTTCATCTTCTTGGTTCTTTCGGTAAAGTCACGTAGAAGGGAAATAATAAAAATAACACATAATAAAATACAATTCTCAGTGAGAATTGTATTTTATTTTATTATTAATAAAATAAAATAAATGAAACATAATAAAATACAATTCTCACTGAGAATTGTTTTTTATTATGTTTTATTTTTATTATTTTATTATTTCCCTTCTACGTGACTTTACCGAAAGAACCAAGAAGATCTTTATGAAACTATTTCTTATTTTACTAGCTAAGGCCCACTGAGCTATATAGCTCTTTGTCAGAAGTGACCTGGTCATAAATTAGAGCTCAAGAAAGTGGCTATCATGTGGAAATGTATAGGTGGAGGGAAAAACCAGAGGACCCGGAGAAAAACCCACACAACCACGGGGAGAACATGCAAACTCCAAATATGCAGGTCTCAGGGTCGGGATGAAACCCACGGCCTCCTGCATACCAGGCGAGGAAAGTAACATCTTGACACCGTGGTGTCCAATCAATGGAGCCACCTGTGTATGTGTCGCCTGCGATCGGAAAACCCACGGCAGATTTTTCCTGCTCTAACAAACAAGAGCCACACATAAATCACGAAAAGCACGTGGTTTTCCTTCCAAAGAATTAGTCGATGCCTCGTTTTCCCACTGCTTAACCCGGGCAAGCCTGGCACGGCTCAAGAAGAAGTCACAGCAGGTTGTTTTTCCCCAGCAGGAGCCAGATCAGTCGTTACGAGTCGAGACGCAACACACGCGGTTGACGCTGCGGGTCGAGTTGTACAGTAGGGGCCACAGGTGATGCATCTGCCAGTCATCTCAGTCGGTCAACCCTCGGCACCTGGGTCTGTCCCGTGACCTCCTGCCAGTGGGCGTTCCGACACTTCACGTAGCTTGGCACAAGTGCCGTGGTGACATCACCGCCACTTATTGGTGAGTGGCGGTTGTTGTTGTTGTTGTTGAGTTGTACTGACGGACGTCACACGTAACGGAAGCACCAGTAACTCCTTTCCCTGGCGCTGCTTGGACCCGAAGCAGGATTCGGACGTCTTACAAGGAGGCTTGGTTATGGTCGGGCAGGGCAAAATACCCAGTGGACATCACCTATTAGCTCAGCTCGCATGTGCTAGTGGAAAATGGGTATAAAGCAGCTATTGTAGTGTAGTAAAGCAAAGACAAAGATCCCCCGTATGGCCTTAACAGACTGTTGGGGCGAGTGCTGTTAGGAGCACCTATGAAGGCCGACACGGCACACAAGGGGGTGGGTGGCCAGCACCACGCTCGATCGCCTTTGTCTCTCCAGTGATGATGTTTACACACCACGCCAGGTACTCATTTGAGGCCGAGTCAACCTAGGGGAGGCCCAGGACCAGTTCAGATTATCGTCGTGTTGGCTGCGTGCGGGAATCGAACCCGGGGTCGCCGGAATTTTAGCGCAGCGGCGGTAACCGCCACTACGGCACTGCTCCCCATGTGTAGTAGCGTAGCTACAGCGCGCCGAACAGACGCGTTGGTCCCACTCCACGACCACGACGGCCGCGATCCACGCAAATCGGTGCCTGCGTGGATCTCTACGGAATCGTCCTAAACAAGGGGCCGCCCTTCGTTAACTCCGAACGTGTAACAAAAAATATTCAGAGCAAACGGCAACAAAAGCGCAACTGTGAATAATTACTCCCCAACACACAACCGGTGTCCTGAAGCAGCAGCTAATTTGCACGTTTTGTTCACGTGACAAACCTTACTAATCGGCTGGTGGCGGGTAAAACGACACGTGAATATTTACGCGATCTAACCCCCCAACAACAAACAAACAAAACCTTTACTGTGAATAATATTGGTCGCGAAATATTCCTACGAGCCAAAACCGTGAATAACCGCTGGGTAACCGATGGCAAGTGGCCTCAACGACGCAGCTCGTTTCCTGTTTTCTGAGAAAAAAATGTAAAACCTACAAAACGCCGCTTCGCACAAAAAAAATAAATCGCCTGCGCCTTATCGTGCATCACACACGGCTTGGGAGGCAGCTACCTGGGGGGGGGGGGGTGAGGGGGGAGTAATTTCTGTTATTTCAAGGAAGAGATTTTAACGGAGGGGAATGTTGCTGTTTTTTGCACTGCTTATTAAATGAAAAAAGAAAACGGTGAGAAGCTCAAAATGCACCGCCCGGCCAAACGGCCTCGCTGGTGCCGCAGGGGGTTTCTAAACACGCTATTGGGCACTTGTCAGGACCCCCCTGAAAAAAAACCCCGCTATCTCGAGTCTTTTCCTGCGTAAACAAGCAACGCGGTTGTCGTACTTCGTAGTAGTGATAATCATGCCCGAGCAAAGAAACCACCTTGTGATTACAGCAAATCAATACAAGCATTATTATTGTTATTACAGCAGCGACTGAAGTGTTCGCGTGAATTTTGTGGAAATGCCCAACTGCCCTTTGCTCACTTGGCGCAAGGAGTTCCGCTCATCACAGTTGTGTAACTCCCACCCCCTCCTCCTCCTCCTCACCCCCGCTCCTTCCCCCACGAGCGTTGTGCTACTCGCACGACGTTACGTAACCCTGCCCTTGTGGCAAGACAAGCGTAGACTCCTGCACCGTGGACTGGAATGACTGTGCCAACAAGCTCGACTGGTATGAAACCTAAGGCCGTGCGCATCATCTCAAGACGAACTTCGCTCTCCGTGACATAATGAGCTTTTTTGACTTTGCGATGGCAATGCACAGCTACCGATTCCCCCCTCGGGCATCGTCACGCGGCGCATTCGATGACTCGGCACGATACAGAATCGCAATTCGGGGGGCCGCGATTCGAAATCAAATAATTAAATTTTTATTGTCTCATTCGTACCGGCTCGCTTGGATTTGTCTTCGTCTGTTCTAACTCGTGTGTACGGTCTCGCTCACACTGCCTGTCTTGTGTATTCTACCTCTCTCGAACTGCTTGTTGTTTTGTTGTCCTTGCCCTCCCCCCCCACACCTCTTAGCACGGTTGGCTATGTGCGGTGCGAAATAAATTCTACATACATACATTCACCAAGACGCATTGACCAGTGTGGTGAGGTATGGTCAAATAACTGCCCACGGCCCGCATGGTGTGGGGAAGGGCCTCATCCGGCGGTGGATACAAGGGTCGCGCATCTATGCACGGCAGGCTACGTTATCGCCACTATAACACCACTCCTGACGTCCCACAATGTGCTACTGTAGTTATTTCACTGAACCAGTAAAACGGTGATGGTGGTGGTGATGTCGTCGTTGACGTATGCCAGAGGTCGCAAACGGGTTTTGATTCCTTACCCGTACCCAGCCGCACCAGGGTCACAAACGGGTACCCGTACCCGGCCGTACCCGTACCCTACCCGGGTAGGGTACGGGTATCGGGTACCTGATTGCGACCTCTGGGATGAAGCCGTGTTGCAGGCACGGGTTGGTTGAGTCTAGGAACTTGAATTGTGAGAAGAGACAAGACGTTGGGAAATGAGTGACAAACGGTTACTCACCAGTGACTCACGGCCTACCCGTACCCGGCCGCACCAGGGTACGGGTAGCCGGGTATCGGGTAGGGTACGGGTATCGGGTAGGGTATGGGTATCGGGTACCCGGTTGCGACCTCTGACGTATGCACCGTTATTGAGGGTGATGACAAGGCCGGGTGCACCTCCCGATTCGCACGGGTGGCTACGCACGGTGCGAGAGAAGCTCAACGTACGTACGCGCACATCGATTCCAAAGGCGAGCGGCGCGAGGGGAGAAGCGGAGGGAGAAGCGTGCGGAGAGAGCAAGGGCCTTGCGCAGAGCGATGGCCCTCAGCCCCGGTACGTACCGATGTTCCCTTCGTCGTCGGTCTCTGCATCGCCAATGATCTCAAAGTTGAAGCTCTGCAGACACTGGTTGAACTTCTCCTGGGCCTGAGAGAGAGCTGCGTTTCGCACGGGAGAGAGCAAAAGCGAAACGAATCCGGGTGTCAGGAGTTTTGTTAAAACGTTACCGTCGATTTAAACCTAAAAGAACCTTTTAAGTCGTACGCAGCTTAACCGGAGAAACAAAGTTAGCGGATGGAAACCGCCATAACAAAACGCTCGTTTGCTTTAGGAACATAATGTCGTTCGCTTTAGGAGCATAACGTCGTTCGCAAGAGTCGGTCAATCATACGCGCATTTAGCTCCCGAACATACCGCCATAAGCATGACTAGAATTATAATTGTTGCTGTCGTAATTCCCAAGGACTACACAACACACAAGCTCTGACGCTCAATTTCTTCCCAGTCCACGCTGCACCGAGTTGTTCATGTACTGAGCGAGGGTCCTTGTGTTCAAATAAATATAGGAAATATAAAATGAATGGCACGATACCAGACCTCTCGAACCAAGTCTCGTCTCTCGCACATTCAGTCAGTGGGTGTCTCGAGTTAATTGAGAGCGAGCCGATTCTTAAGATGTTTCTTGTGCATGCGAAGTTGGCGCTTGTCGCAAGGCGAATCTCCCTCCCCATCAACCCCGAGCAAGTCTCACCGCACGTCCGGCCAAACTCAGGCGCAAAGTTTCACAATTTGAGCAACCTTGGAACACCGAGTGGGGTATTATAAAAAAAAATGTCATTCTAATAATACCTAAATGGTGTCAAATTGAAGCTGGCTACAGTTTCAGAACACCATAAGTTTATATGTGGAACAGTGTACGTCAACGGATTGACACACAAAAGGTCAAACTGAATGCACCATGACCGTGACAGCAATGATGAAGGTCAGCTCAACAGCGTATGTCCAACACCGAGGTATTTTACGAGCATTCCTCTCCGATAAAAAAAATGGACGGATGACTTAACCGAATTAAAGTCCTAACTGGTCGATATACTATACCCACTCAAAACGCCACTTCACGATTACACCCTGAGCATTGCACGTGTCTTTAAAGAGCCCGAAATGTACGTTCCGAGTACGCGGACCTGCGCTGGGGGTTAACCCCGGGCTGCTGTAGACACACGTGTCGGGGCTGTCTGACACAGACGTGGCTTTGCGGGATGCCACAGAGTCTGCGAGGCCAAAATTAGACCTGGATGGGACTGTCGCCGCTCCGGTTTGATCGCTTGGATCACGGATAGGAAGGTCGCGATTTTAAGTCGTGGGTCCAGGGATTGACACGCAAAGCCACCGCCAACGCTGTCACCGTCATCATCATCATAATCACTGTCATCATCATCATTTTGTTGGGGTTATTAAAATGAGTACCGCTCTGTGGAAATTCAATTCAACAGTGGCTGTCCGAGGGAGAGAATGTCTTATCTTATTTTTGATAGAGCGCCTTTGATCAAGGCGCGAAACAGGTCCCCTGGCATGTAAATGTTGTCGATCCACTGCTGGATGAGGGCACCCGCACACCGTGCGGGACACAGGAGTTTATTTGACCATCATTGATGGTCTTCTTGGTTCTTTCGGTAAAGTTACGTAGAAGGGAAATAATAAAATAATAAAAATACAACATCATAAAATACAATTCTCACGTTTTGGCGTACAACGCAAGCAGCCGTCCTCAGGTGAAGAACAGGTATGTCGGAAAGACAGCGTCTGAATGAAAAAAAATTCATCATTGATGGGTCGGTGACGGCGGTGACAGCGGTGAGCGCAGCTCCCCGGAAGCATAGAAGTACAGTACGACGATGGCTTTTTCTGACCGCCTTCCGCTACTCACCGCAAAGCCTCACACAGGCCTAAAACGCCCGTGGGTTGTGCTTTGCGGTCGCCCATCCAAGCACGATCCATGCTCAACCCCTTCTTAGCTTTGCGTGGTCTGGTGAAATGGGGCCCATTCCTGGCGTAGCAATGTGTAATCTGCGCCAACGTTTCAGGGCCACCAACAGTGCGATGGGCATTGCACAACGAATGCACGCGCAGATGGAAATGATGAATGTTTGACCTCTTGACTGCAATCCTGTGCTCGATGCAACAGGTGACGTTGCTAATGCACATCGGGCAGCACATGACTGCAAGTAACTGACGCTGAACACGTGACGATAAGATGCATTGTAAAAAAATAAAAACCCGTTTTTATGTTTTTCCTGTCTTTGTTTCAAAACCTGTCCTCCTAAGAAATGAACAACAAATGTCAATTCAGCACAAAAAACCCCTAAAAAAATGAGCACGTGCTGAAGCTTAGGAATGCATTCGTTATAAATACTGTATTGTACACTCGCTGTATGTGTTTCCTTTTAGGCATTCAATTGCTCTGTATTGAGAGTTAGTGATTTGCAGATATACCCAACTCAACCACTCGCTCACCCGCCTACTCACCGCCTTCACATGCATATTTGGGACAGTGTGAAGTTCTATGGACATTGGTACGGTGTTCGTAGACCCAGTAGCACACAGGAAGAGAGTCTTTTATTTTCTACTCTTGTGTTAGGCATCCACCGCATCGTCCGAGGTTTGTGCGGTTCCTGTTAAGCGCTGCCCATTGTTTCCGTGGCAGATGAGCGCCTACCAGTGTGGTAGTGGGGACTGATGATGGAGCTGTAGATGATGATGGTGGTAGTGGTGGTGATGGCGATGATGGGGGCAATGTTTTTCACCGCCCATGTTTTTTGACGCACGTGAGAAAGGCAATGCATCAGTGGCGTTGCGGTCACAGATAAATAAGCGCGTGCTCTTACGTTTTGCTGGAGAAGCTACAATCGAGGTTGCAAGCGAATAAAAACGGGTCCGACACAAAAGTAGCAAGCAAGTCCCACCCTCAATTATCACCAAGGGCGTGTGCCACGTCACTCACGGGAAAAAGCTACACTCGCTTGACGTATCGATTTAAAGCTTTAGTGACTGCAGGGATTCATCTTCTTGGTTCTTTCGGTAAAGTCACGTAGAATGGAAATAATAAAATAATAAAAATATCTGTCTCCTCGACAGACCTGTTCTCCACCTGAGGACGGCTACTTGCATTGTGGCCGAAACGTCGTGAGAATTATCTTATTATGTTTTATTTTTATTATTTTATTATTTCCAATCTACGTGACTTTACCGAAAGAACCAAGAAGTCGCTTGAAGTAATTCATTAATTCATCAACCCGTGTTCCTTTACGGGAGACGATTGACGGCGATAAAATCAGCACTGTTTGATTTTAGCGCATCATTCCGGTTAACTATTTTCTGCCGCGAGGCTGTTTCACAGTTGTGCTGTACTTCCATGCTGCCACCTTCTCCGACCCGTGCCGATCGTCGTGGAGGAGTTCGGCCAAGTAACCCGCGACGGCCAACACGGCTTGGGAAGGCCATCGTCCAGCAGAGCTTTGACAAAAGGGCGGCGAAGGACTGCCTTGTGGTTTACACCAGGACCTTCAAAAGGCAGCAAGAGATCCACACAGCTCCACGTGGGTTTCAGTGGGAAACCCACGTGGACTTGAACAAAAAAAATTAAAAGCAAAGCGACCGTGAATCTTCAAAGAAATTTCCACTGCATCCAAAGTGCGTTTTTTTTACACGGACCGCCTGACCAGCCGGTGGAGCTGGCAACCGTCCCCCTTGTGTGCCGTGCCGGCCTTCAATAGGTGCTCGCGAACAGCACTTGTCCCAAAAGTCTGTTAAGGGGCCGTCCATAAATGACACCACGCGATTTTGGACGATTTTTGATCCCCCCCCCCTCTCGTCACACGGCGTCACAAAAAGTCAAACCCCCCCCCCCAAAATATGACATCACAAAGCTCTGCACCCCCCCCCCAAAACCATATTTCCATTTTGAAAATAAAACATGCTTCAAATCGCTTTAAACTATTGTCATTGTAGTGCGTATTTAATGTGGCGCTGCACTCTGATGTTGTAGGAGTGTTGTTATAACAATTCTATATTTATTTAAAGTTGCGCATTTCTCAAACCCCCCTCTCCCCCCCTCGTCACACATCGTCACAAATGTCTGACCCCCCCCCCCCCCCAAGTGCGTGACGTCATTTATGGACGGCCCCTTGGTGAGGCTGGAAGAACATCTGCCAAGGAGGGGGTCACTTCTTCTCGGTTGCTGCTCCCCCTTCGTCGTCTCGAACTCACTCGCGTCACTTGAACTCCGTGCCGTTGACGGTGTCACCACTTCGGTCTACGCCGGATACTCCGTTAACTCTCTGAAGCTCACGCATTTTGTTGTTGTTGTTTAATGTACTGTATATAATATGCTATTTATTAGCCTCTCAATTGTATTGTCGTGCTGTCGCACGGCGTCTGGAGATGCGGCTGCATCGCAGACGCCAGACCCAGGGGTCGACGAAGCAAAATAACAAGAGACATTTTTAATTAGAATTTGGTAACAACAACAAAAAAACCTCAATATTTTATGAGCCGCAATGCACCGCGTGGTGAATATCGAGACGGCGGGGGTCCTGAATCAATAACGCAACGAAGCCGTCACTTAAAGGGCCGCACGCGACTCCGGATCCGCAGTTTGCCGACCCCCTGCCGCTGGAGAAATCGAAATTGCCCTGGAAAAAACCAGGGGGAGTGGGGCTTGAGGTCACGGTGGGGTCGGCTTGAGGTCACGGTGGGGTCAGCGAGGCCCGTGCCAGGACACGGCCCCTCCAACGGGATTTTGTTGGAGGGGGGGGGGGCCACGCTTCAGGGGGGCGATGAATGCTGCCCTTGTCGAATGCCGGTGGGGGGGGAGGGGGACACAGTGAGGATGGAACGCCACGTCCAGCGGCCCGACCGCAAGGAAAACGCACGGGCGTTCGTCGCCGCCTGCAGATGCCAGCTACCAGCAGTCACAGGGGACCACTGCCAAAGGTGATATCTCAAAAGTAAACCACGGAGCAGCAACCGCACCTCCGCTTAGCTCAGTTGGCTGCGTACGGCGCGAAAGAAGTTCAACATACATCCGTGAGCCCATCCATGGACGGGGTTATGAAAAAAAAATGCGGACTCTGTCTTCACGTGCGCGCCGGTTTCATTA